AGGCGCAAGGCTGCAATCATCAAAGGAACGCTGTAGTGACGGGAGAACGCAGGCTGTATGTGCTTTGAACCAGCTTTGTTAGACGGCTTCACTTTGCTGCTTGCTGATTCAAGAAAGACATTGTGAATTGCTGTTTCCTCGTTTGTGGGCCAGCAGCTTGTGCCGTGTTTGCGCTCACTTGAACTTTGGGCGAGCCCCCGCGAATGGCACGGAGGATGACTCCACGCCGCACACAGCCGGCAGAAGTTACCAGAATACGACGTGGATTCGACTCACGGAGGATGATGCCTGGGGCCAACACGACCCGTTCCAGATACCTGTCCTTAGAAGAGATGTACGTTGAGTCCCGACATCTGTCTGGGTAGGTAAGGGTGCAAGGATCAGCCAGAGTCGCCAGCGGGCCAAATGCGCGGTGACTCAAAAGCCTACTTGATACGTTTCAGTATTGCTCACACCAGAATCGCAACATCAGATCTGCCGCATGAACTTCAATCCCATCTACACGTATCCTTGAAGCGGTACCTGGGTACCTGATCCACTGATGTTGCGCCACGTGACCTTTCTGCCTGCAACGGATCCGCATGCAAAGGCAGCCTAGACAGCCGTGGACAAGTCCGATGCACCATCGGTTGCTGCCACATCGCATCTGATCAGGCCGCATGATAGTCGGCCGATATATCAGCCATGCTTCTGCTCGCCATGTAGTTCGCAGATCATCACAGTGCACGAGTCGCAAAGCATAACTCACCATTCGCTCTTGCAACCGGCCCCCCTATCCGCGTGCAACTGGTGATTGATTGACGTAGGCCACTAAAACATTTGTTGGCCTCACTTTGCGAAAACAAACACCACAGCGGACAGATATGCGCCTGCTCAACCCCGCCAAACCCCCAAACGGCACATCTCGACTTTCGACATCATGTGGCGGCGTGTCTATTTCCTGCTGATCCTGGTGCGCATCTACTTTGCACTATCGCCGAGCTATCTGCACCCGGACGAGAACTTCCAGGGCCCCGAGGTCATTGCCGGTATGTCGCGACACTGTCTGAGTATGCGCCCGTGGCCACAGCTGACTTGTATCCAGGACGTGTCTTCTCCTACCCCGTCCACGAAACCTGGGAGTTCACCTCCGAGAACCCCATCCGCAGCACGTTCCCGCTATGGCTCGCATACGGCTGGCCCATGTACATCTTGCGCTGGCTATGGGAGGGCTTCGGATATGACGTCTCGCCGTCGGTCGTATACTGGGCGCTGCGCGTACTCATGTTGACGCTGAGTGTCGTGATGGAGGACTGGGCCATCCATGAGCTGGTCGCTTCGCCCCGCGCGCGCCGTGTTGCCGTAATGCTTGTCGCATCGTCGTATGTGACCTGGACGTTCCAGACACATACCTTCTCCAACAGCATCGAGACGCTGCTGGTGCTCTGGAGCCTGGTCTTGATCCAGAGGATAACGGACGATAAGGTGAGTTGTTTCGGTCCGCTCGCCGATCTAGGATATGCGGCTAACGCAAGGTGCAGAAGCGCTCTGGGATCCTGGCTTCGTCCATCCTCGGCTTCATGGTCGTCGTAGGCATCTTTAATCGCATCACCTTTCCAGCGTTCCTGCTTCTTCCTGCGACAACTTTGCTACCCCACTTCAAGCGCAAGTAAGTCAGCCCCTCTCGTCTTCTAGACCTTCACTAACAGCCACAGACCGTTCTCTTTGGTCTTCCTTGCAACGTTCGCGCTCTTCACAGCTTTCCTTGCTATCTGCGTAGACACGGCGTTTTATACCCCCGGCGAATTCACCTTCTCCAAACTCATCAGCGGCGCCGTCATCACACCTTTCAATAATTTCCGTTACAACTCGGATTCCGCGAACCTTGCTCAGCATGGCATACATCCACGATACCAACATTTCCTCGTCAATCTCCCTCAACTTCTCGGTCCGGCGGCACCGCTTCTGTTCTTTTTGCGCAGGGCGCACATTTCTATGATTCTCCTTTCAGCTATATCTGGCGTCGCACTTCTCAGCATCTTCCCACACCAAGAAGCACGATTCTTACTTCCCGCCGTACCATTAATACTCTCCTCGATACGCCTGCCGACTCCGCGCATTCGAAAGAGCTGGATCGTTACTTGGGTAGTTTTCAACGTTGCCCTGGGTATCCTGATGGGCGTATACCACCAGGGCGGCATCGTCCCAGTCCAGATGAACATTGCCAAGACGAACGAGACAGTTTCCAATGCGTTCTGGTGGAAGACGTACAGCCCGCCAACGTGGCTACTGAACGGCAAGAACGAGGAGCTGAAGACTGTCGATCTGATGGGCTGTCCAGCCGAACAGATGATCGAAAAGGTCAAAGAAGCACTACCGCCTTGTCGGACACGAAAGCCACCAAAAGCCGACCGTGGCTCTGTGTACGTGGTAGCACCACGATCAGCACATGCTTTGATACCCTATCAAAGCCCAAACAACTCAAAAGACGTCTCATTAGAGGAAGTCTGGAGCTATCGACAGCACCTGAACCTCGATGACATGGACTTTGCCGACGACGGCATCTGGAATACCATCAGCCGTGTCGTCGGCGATCGGGGCTTGGTGGTCTGGCGAGCAACCCGGAATTGCTGGTCTACACCTGAATGAGCTAGATAGGTCACATGTAAGAAGCGATCTCGTTGGTCTGATATTTCGGAGTCGTGGCACAAGATGCAAAGAATTTGGCAGCGCAAGCTGAATGTCGATTTGTTTCCTTCTTGACTTCTGCACATATACCCATCACACTTCTTCCATAGCTCCTCCTAATGTTAATATAGTAAAACGTTCAATCACCCAAGTTCTACGTCCTCTGGGCGTGCTCTGCGCAAAACATCGCAGTTTCTGATACATAGTGATATACATACAATCCTTAAACCCCCTCACAAAGCACCACCCAGCACCCTCACAGCCCACATCGCCATCCTAACATCCATCCCAACCTTCCTCTCCGGCCTCTCAAACTCCCTCTCACCCACCTCCCTCGCATGCTCCCCCAACCACCTAACCTCCTCGCCCAACCTCTTCCTCAACCCGGGATCCTCCGTCGCAATAACAACATTAGCCTCAAGATCCAACTCATACGCCCTCTTCGTATAATTGCTACTCCCAATAACCGTCAGACTGGGATCTTCCTTCTCCCCTCCTCCATCGGCAGAAGGAAACGTCACCCACAGCCCCTTGGCATGATACGTCCACCCGCCTTCCTGGCCCACCATTCCCTTCTTCCACTCTTTGAGCACGATGCTCTCGCTGAGGCCTTCGTGTTTTACTTTGCGCAGGAAGGATTTCGCGAGGTGTGTGTATGCGGCTGGGAGCATGCCGCTTACGCCTTTGGAGCCGTAGAAGCCGTTGGCGTGGGGGTGCGCGGTTAGGACTGTGCCGGAGGCGGGGCGCGTGGAGAGGAGGAGGCGCCGGAAGGAGGGCGTCATGTTGAAGTAGCCGGCTGTGAAGGTCCAGGAAGAGTTTTGTAATGGGGGTGTGGTGAGGTGGGTTAGGATTTTGGTTAGGGCGGGGAGTTCGGTTGAGGAGGGGAGGAGGGGGACGAGGGAGAGGATGGGGTAGATTGTTGTTTTTGAAGTGGAGGGGAAGGGGGATGTGGTGGTTGGGGAGTTGGATGGTAGGAGGAGGTGGGCTAGGTGCTTCTCCGCGGCGGATTTGTACTTCGAGGGGGAGTCTAGTGGTGAGGGCGCGGCGTTGGTTGTTGGCCAGGTCATGGTGTAGCCTCCGCTTCCTTCTTGGGTGCTTGGCTGTATGTCGAAGCTTAGCTTTGCGACGCCGTCGTGTATCCTCTTGAAGTAGTCCGTCAGGTCTTTTGACTTGAATAAGTGGTACCGATCCTGTCGATTTGTGAAGTAGTCTTCACTCAAGTTTGCTCCGGACATGATGATTTCATCGTCTACACCGTAAAGCTTCATGTGCTGTAGACCCCAGCCTTCGTTGATGCGTTTTGGGATGTACTTCTTTCGAAGGCCGGTAAGATTAGGCGTGTGGTACATGCGTACTTCTACGCGGTCTGAGCCGAACTCAGAGATGAGAGGTGTCATGAGAGAGGCAGTCGAAGGATTTGGTGTTTCTCTGGTTCCGCGAAGAGCGTCGGTAAGAAAAGAGACCTTGAGATTGGGGTTACGTTGAAGAGCATCTCGGATAGTTGAGATGAGCTCATGTTCGGTCTTGCCGATGTAGAGTGTCGATAGATAGACCCGGTATTGAGCTTTGGATATTTTGTCCTGACTCTGTTAGTACAAAGTTTCATCACCACGAGTAAGCTTGCTCACAGCGCCTCTGTCCCTCTAGTCATTCATTGGGGATGGAGTGTTGCCACGAAGTTCGCAAATACGGTGCAAAGGCAGAAGGAAATAGACATGGGGGAGTAGTGTGCCTCTTGGCAGAATGACAGATAATAAAGAAGCGCGGTGATTGAAACATGAGATGAAGGTTGTCTTGTATTTGTTGAGCGTTCCAACAGAGAAATAGAACAGAAGAGTGAGTAGGAAAATGACAACAACAAAGACCGACCTACCTTCAATGTTTGATAAAACTCAGCAGGCGTCTGAAGAATCTCAATCTGATCTGGCTGAATCTCAAATCGCGGCGCAATTTTATCCAGATCCGTCGTTATCGTGGCAAGCATAGACGCTTGGCTCTGAGGCACAGGTGAAGCCATCTCAGCACTCGAGGTCGAATATCTTCGCGTTGTCCTGAATGTCCGAGTTGGGATGCCGAAAGTTCTCCTCCCCGCGATCTTCGGTGCTTGGGCGCGTAACAAGCTTCTTATTATCATGGTGGCCACTCGCTATCATGCCGGATGCTGGTATGTGCTTCGACTCCTGAAGTTTTGATGCACTTTGGGGTTGGGCGACAAGGATCACGCTCGCGCTAGCATGCCTTGGGAAAGGCGTGAGAGCGGTGCTTGGCATCGTCAATCGCGAAGCAGCAACATCCGACCAGCATCACGAACGCTGAATTGACCAAACGCCACCATGTCGACGCTCATGAGAACGCTGCGCAACCTGCGCCGAGTTGGACTTAAGGTAAGCTTCAATACCTGCAGTAATTGCCATGGCAACGCTAACACGTCCGCAGGAATATGGCCACCAAATGGCGGTACGCTCGCATCCCCGCGCCCTCACCTTACATCGCAGATAGACTGATCGAGTCGCCCGCACGCTTAGAACATCGGTACGCTTGGACACACATAAATCGCCGTGTTAAGGGAGGGGCTAATGGGGAACAGGTGACACCAAAGCCGGAACCTTGATCGGCCAGGACAAGTACGGCAACAAGTACTTTGAGAACTTGGAGGAGGAGCTTCCTCGTAAGATTCGCGGATCTCAAAGATGAAGGCATATATCTGACTGGCATAGTCCGAACCCGCTGGGTCGACTACAAGGACCATGAGTTCGATCCGTATGTTGCAACGAACGTGGAGACATGGAGCAAAACTAACGTTTGTAACAGCTCTCAGATCGAACCCGGATGGTATGCTACCGCAACAAAATCCGCGAAATACGACTTTGGGAAGATCACACATCTGACTTTCTACACAGGCACGCCTGGATGTCATACATGGTCGACAAGTCACCAGCCGCAGACCCGCTCCTGCAGCGCCAGGTCCGCGTCTGGGAGCCAAAGGAGCACAGGCCGACTCTCACATGGACCCGATCGGGATACAAGCCTTACAACACGTACGTTCCAGACTGCGACATGGGCAGGTCAGGTACTAACAGACGATAGTGTCAAGCCCAAGTACTCTCCGTGGACACCCGTCGCCAAGGCTCGACAGTAGACGCGTTTTCCATACCAAGCATTGTATATATCCAGAGAAGAAATTGATGTTTCAGATGCTATCACTTCTATCCACTCCCGATATTCAGAGTCCCTCCATTAACATAGGAAGCACAACTTCCTTATTGAACTTCCAGAGCGCGCTGCTATCTTGCGCTCGGAACGTCGCACCGCTCCAATACGTGCTCCTCACCCCCTGTAGCGCGTTCATCTCGTCATAAATGCCAGTCTGTATATCCTCAGGACCGGCTTGCATGTAGAACGGCGCATGTGATGTAAATACCACGAACTCTGGCTCTGTCGCCTCGAACTTGTCAGCATTTGCTGTTTGCAGTCTCTTGATACCCGCAATCATCTCCCCTTTGACAAAGTCATCAGAAAGTGGGTATGTCGCATTCGACCGTTGAGTACCATAATAAATCGCTTTGACCCCCTGAATAGCGGTTGGCCCCATGGTATAGACACCCGGCAGGGCAGCGAGGTTGTACGGTGTATCCGGCGCGCGATTGTAAATGACCAGATCGTCAGGTGTACCCGTATTTCTGACCAGAGCAGCATAATACCCAGTATCGATAAGTTTCCCAAAGACTTCACGTTCCTGCCTCCGCAAATCGAGACGCGCAAGCAGATCCACACGCGGTGGAATGGTAACAAGGAGTTTCTTCGCGCGCACCAACTTGACGCCATCAGGTGTCTTGACAACGAGTTCCACACCATGCTCCCTTCTTACCGAACGCACGACTTCGGAAGACAGCAACAAGCCATCCGCACCGAGGAGCTCAGCCTGTGCTTTCCCGTACAACTCGCTGTTGTTGCGGCGAGCCGTGGTAACAAGACTTTTCGCAGCCATTTGCTGGACCAAACCCAACCCATTGACACGCGCATTCTCCACCACGGGTACACCGAGTATATCCCCAACACCCTGGTTCGTATCAAACATTATCTGCACCAGAGCTTCGAGACCGAGCTTGGCAACGAGGTCGCCGAACGGTATGGTTAGGTCTTCTGGAACGGGGTCGGGGAGGAACATGCCGCTTTCCAGCTTGGGGTATTGGGCCAGGAACGCTGCGTACTTCTGCAGTCCGGCGCCGAGGTCTTGTACACTCGGTGCACTAACATTGACGGCGAGACCGGTGCTGAAGTCGTAGTTTGCGGAGTTGGCAGCGTATTGTGGTTGTCCGAGGGGGATGTCGAAGCGGGCGAAGTAGTCGAGGACAGTGCTTTCGTTATGGTAGACTTGTACGCCGTAGTCTTGAGCGAGACCGGTTGCGGGGTCTGTGTAGGTTTCTGTGTGGCCGCCTAGCTGGTTCTTGATTTCGACGACGATGACGGTTTTGTTGGCGTCTTTGAGGGTGATTGCGGCGTGGGTGCCGGAGGAGCCGCCGCCGATGATGGCGACGTCTCGGGTTATGATGGCGTTGGGATGGAAGGACGAGGGGTGGTGTTTGGGGGTTGTTGAGAAGGCGGGGGATGTGAGGAGGGATGCTAGAAGCACTGCTGTTGAAAGTGTGGGATGCATGTTCGTTGGTGAGAATGTTCCTTTCTGAACAGCAGTATCATTGAGAACTATGTGGGACTATATACTACGGTGTACTGCCTGTATTATTGCCTGAAGAGGGATCTGTCGGCTACCCCGTGAACCTGTTGACGGGTAACCGTACCGTTTGTAGACGACGTAGACTCCCGTCGCGGTGGAACAAATGCAGCATCCCGTGTCAAAGTACACAAGAGCGTTCGTAAACAAATCATGTCCCAACACTCAAGCCCGGTGTCAGCGTGACGAAGCCTCCAAATTATATAATCCAATACCCTTTGCAGGAAAGAGAGGCCATGAAGCATGTCAGCGTCAAGATCCAAGTATGCGCATGCGCGCCCTCTTATGTACGGCTTGCAGCTCAGCAGCTCACTCGCATTTGAGATGGAGTCGTGGAGTTGTAAGCTTTCTGACAGGTTGGCAAAGGCTTGAGGGGTAACGTGTGGCGTCCAGTGACAGCAGCCTGGCGAGTTGATGGCCATGCATGGACTATCTCCGGCAATTTCATGTGTTTCTTGATAGAAGGCGTACTGCAGGCTTCGATCGACCGGTGTCTAGAAGCTCGAAGGCGTCCAGGCGAATGGAGCGGGTAGTCGACTGTCGCATCGTTAACGTAGGGAAGCAAGTAACATGTATGCGTTCCATGTCCCAGACAATGACAAACTATACGCAGGCTTGAGAGAAGGTAACGACTGTTTGTATAGGTCACGGGGACGTGGAGAGGCAGCACGTGGGCGGGTTGTGTTGTTTGACTGCCTCATCGTACCTGCCTGTTCGACGTTTGAGGATTGCCATCTCTTGGGTAGGAATTTGTCCATGTCGCCATCAACATGACTTCCGGACTACGTCGCTCAACACGGTTTGTGGTTCTAACCCAGATTAATTTGTCGCGCATGCGAACTTGTTACATTGTGCGATTGTAGGCAGTAGACAGACACCTGTGTCACAGTGGCGGCCCAAAGCTTTGCGCTTCGATTGCAGACGCTTCAAGGACGTCCCTGGTATAACCAGAGCGAAGATTGCGAAATCAGGCCGTTTTCACATGTCGCAGGACTCGAGCGTTGCGCGGCGTTCAGCGCTGTGTTCTCTGGCCAAGGCGTTGGGCGCGCCAGGGGAACCGGCACCTGCGCAGATGGCGCCAGCAGGTAACTTGGGGAGGCATGTGTGTGCGAGTCTCTCACCGACTTTGAGGCTGCGCTTAACGACGGGCCTATTGGCAATGTCAGCAACGTTACAGGTGGTGTGCACGGCAGCAGAATTGGTAAGCTGTGGGGAAGCTAACGCCTGGTCCCACTTACCCTTAGCCGCGGAGGTAGCTTGCAGCCATCACAGTACCCCGGACATCTGGACTTTGCCATGTCCGGCAGCCCGCGATAGAGCTGTCGTCGCTATAGGAAGGTCCATTATGGCTCTTTACGACTCGTTATGACTCTTCTCGACTCTTTTACGCGTTCGGTGTAATTCCTTGGTGCTTATCGGCTTGTACACTAGGGCGAACGTGAGGCTCTCTGGCATGCGCCAGCTACCACGGCCTGCCTGGTAGTGAAGAGAAGCATCAGGCAAGACACGGCGCGAAGACGGACGCAGTTAGCAACGTGCCCAATACTGGGTTGCACCGACGACACGACCGATACCTCCAATCTGGAAGCGGGAGGCGTACAGTACGGCACGTATCAGCGCGCCCTCGGCCGGCCCTTTCGCCCTTGGAGCTGTTGTCACGAACCCATCGGATTATGACTCTGCGAACCTTAATGGAGGCGGTCAATATGTGAGCGTACGGTAGTGTGAAGCTGCAGAGCGGCAAAGCGCGACAAAAGCCGTGAGACGGATGCATGGCCTGCTCTGTGACACATGCGCATCGGTGCATCTGCTGCACAACCATGTCACCTTGAGTCAAGCGGAGACGAACCCTGTCAAACAATATGTCGTGACGATCTAGCTCTCTCTGTGAGACTGCTTGCTATATCCACACCAGCAGCCACGGTGACGGTTCGATAGAGTAGTTTGCGACCGCTCGCTGTGGCTCGTTGCACCCGTTCTTACATTGGGCCGGTTATCTGATCTGCAGCTATCTTATCTGATCCTAGCATCTCGGTTGCACATCGGCAGCAATAGCTAATTACATCATTTGTTAGTTCGGGCACGCGCGCGTGAACGTCAGTGCGGATCTGGAAAAGCTCTTGCGGCAAGTGGAAGCGCAAACCGAAGAAGCAGTTCCCTTCCTCGCAAACCACCCTATCCTGGACACAATCGCTGGAGGCCCCCTGCTGCCGTTTGTTTACTTCGGCGCAATCGAGCAGAAGGCGCGAATACACCCTCCGGTCCTTCCTTTAGTCCCAATGCGCCTCAACAGCCGTCAATAGCGAGTGCGAGTGCTGGAGGTTTGAACACCACCACAGGTCACAACAGGTCTCGTACAACTGCGGCAGACACCATGTTCGCCCACTGTAGAGGCCCGTTCTGGGGCAGAGACGACTTCTCAAGGTGTTTCGAGCAAGAGTATGTGTTACTTTTTACTTTGCGCCACGACGCGATGTCTCAGATGCCACTGCAGCCATCCGATAGGCGATGCGCCACCACGAACGATCGCTCAGCTAACACGTCGCAGCTATCTTCAAACACTATTCCCTCTCATCGTATGCGGAATATCCGTCGTTTATCTACTGGTCCAACTCTATTTCGCCGCCACCGCGTCCCGATACTACCACGCCTACAGTGTCCTCGAAGACCCCACCAATGTCTGGTCCTTCCGCAGTCCTCGCTACGATGGCGACGAACCCTACGAAGATGCCGAAGACGACCTTGACCGGAACGAAGATCTCGCGCTTCATGCCGTCAACACGGTCTCCACCATGGCCGTGGACAAACCCCGCGGAGAGCTCACGGTCGTCATACTCGAGGAAGTGGCGGTACTGGCCCAGCTGGCACTTCACGTCGCTGTTCTGGTGACTGGTGTTTGGGGCAGGCACGGCAAGCTTGCGGCCATTGCCAATGTTGCTGTATGGGCCTACATCGCCACCCTGGCTTCGCTGCGATTGCTGTTCTCCAGCACCAGCAGATTCTCGTTTCCCAAGCTGTGGTATCACACTGCCTTCATTTACGGGTTCCAATGGGTGTTCAGCGTCCTCCTATTCCGGTCGGCCATCATCCACCCGCGATCGCCTCTACACCGTAAGCTGATGATTGGCGATTTCGTCCTCGTCTCGCTACTATTCCTTATCTCTTTGTGCTCCAGGAAAGGCAACAAGGCGGTGGAACTGGAGTACGAAGGCGACATCGCGCCAGCCCGGGAACCTATCGCCAGTGTTTTCTCGCTTGCCACTTTCAGCTGGGTCGATCCAATCGTCTGGACAGGATATAAGAAGACATACGAGCTTACCGATGTCTGGAACTTGCCCTCCAAGGACAAGGCTGCAGCTGTCATCGCGAACTACCGTCAGGTCAAGAAGACATCCGGCTTAGCTTACCACCTTTTGAAGCATTTCAAGCGTGGTCTACTCATCCAAGCAGGCTGGGCTGCCATTTCTGGTTTCCTTACTTTCGCCCCGACACTACTTCTCAAGGTCATTCTGGAGTACGTCGAGAAGCCCGAGCAGACGCCTGCCAACGCCGCCTGGTTCTACGTCATCTTGCTGTTCGTTTCTGGCAGTCTATCTGCACTTGCTGACGGCCAAGCGCTATGGCTCGGTCGAAAAATCTGCATCCGCCTACGCGCTGTCATCATTGGAGAAATCTATGCGAAAGCGCTCAAGAGACGAGCAGCAGCTACTACCGAGAAGGCCTTGGGCGAGGAGAAGAAGAAGAAGGAGAATGATGAAGAGCCCAAGGGACTAAAGCGCATCTTCACCTTTGGCAAGAAGAAGAAGGCGACTGGAGACTCCAAAGAAAACGAAGCATCGAAACCTGAATCCGACGCTCAGGTCACTACTGGTGCCATCATCAACCTGATGGCTGTCGACGCTTTCAAAGTCAGCGAGATCTGCGCTTATCTACACTTCCTCTGGGCGAATACCCCAGTCCAAGTTGTCGTGGCTGTCTTCTTGCTCTACCGCATCTTGGGTTACAGCTCGATTGCTGGTATTGGTATGATGGTTTTCTTGCTCCCGATCAACATGTATGTTGCGCGACAATTCTCCAAGATCCAGAAACTCATTCTCGCGGCCACCGACGCCCGCATCCACACGACCAACGAAGTCCTCACCAACATCCGGATTATCAAGTTCTTTGCTTGGGAGCAACGCTTCATTGGTCTGGTCAACGAGAAGCGGTACATTGAGCTCAAGCATCTGCGACGGAGATACATTCTGTGGGCGGTAGCAGCTACGATATGGTCGGGCTCGCCAGTCTTAATCACGTTCTTGTCCTTCCTCGTGTACACGAACGTTGAACATAAGGCGCTCATTCCATCTGTCGCATTCACCGCCCTCTCGCTTTTCCAAATTCTGAGGATCCCGCTGGACCAGCTCGCAGATATGGTTGCCCACGTCCAAGAATCCAAGGTTTCAGTTGATCGTATCGAGGAGTATCTGTCCGAGCCTGAGACGGACAAGTACTCGCAACTCGTGACCCAGAAGAAGGACGAAGATGGCCAAGCCATTATTGGGTTCGAGAACGGCACATTCAGTTGGGGCGGAACAGACATGGCAGACCAGGCTTCGGCAGATGCCTTCAAGCTGATGGACCTCAATCTCACGTTCCGTGTTGGCAAGCTCAACGTTGTTGTTGGACCCACTGGCTCTGGAAAGACTTCATTGCTCATGGGCCTGCTTGGTGAAATGACAAAGCTCAAGGGTAGTGTTTACTTGCCTGGTGGACTAAGCCGAGAGGACCTGACTCCCGATCCCGACACTGGACTCACTGACAGTATAGCTTACTGCGCTCAGCAAGCTTGGCTCGTCAACGGCACGGTCAAGGACAACATCGTATTCGCAAGTCCTTTCGACCAGAAGCGCTACGACGAGGTTATCGAAGCCTGCTCTCTGAAGCGGGATCTTGAGATCCTTGATGCTGGCGACGAGACGATAGTGGGAGAGAAGGGTGTAACGCTCTCTGGTGGCCAGAAACAGCGTATCTCATTGGCCCGTGCGTTGTACAGCAAGGCTCGTCACGTTCTTCTTGACGATGTTCTGAGCGCTGTCGATGCCCACACTGCCAAATGGATCTTCCATTACGCACTTCACGGACGACTCATGGCTAAACGAACTTGCATCCTCGTCACACACAACGTCAGCCTCTGTTTGCCACACGCAGAGTTTGCTGTTGCACTTGAGAACGGCCGAGTGGTCGCACAAGGTACAGCAGATGAGGTCATCAATTCAGGAAAGCTTACCGAGGATCTTACTAAATCACGGCCCGCATCAAGAGGAGCGTCCAAGCCTCCTTCCCAAGAGCCCTCGGACGCTGGTGAAGAGGCAAACGGCGATGCCAATCACGCCAACGGGTCTGCTAATGGCACCGCAAATGGCAAGCCGGACGCCAAGAAGAAGAAGCCAGCCAGCAACAGTCAGGACGAGAAGAAGGCAGAGGGAGGCGTTAAGCTGAACATCATCACCATGTATCTTCGAGCTATGGGCCCCTGGTACTACTGGCTTGGTGCTACCATTGCTTTTGTAGCTGCGCAAATCTCTTCCGTATCTACCAACCTCTGGATCCGCACATGGGCGAACGCGTACGCAGAAAAGGGCTATGCTGTGGCGAGCAACCATCACCAATCCCCGGTAACGCATGCTCCGACAATAAGTGGCATGGGAACATGCATGAACAGTGGTACCTGCAGCTGGAACATTCCCTTCTTTACACAACCGGAGCAGCAGTCATATGCCTACAACACCATGCAGACTACCTTCAGTGACCAGAACCCGGACGTCAACTCTGCATACTTCCTCAGCGTTTACGCCGTTCTTGGACTAATCTTCATGTTCATCACCTTCTTGCGAGAAGGTTTCCTCTTTGGAGGGTCTCTCGCTGCATCCAAACGCATACACGAACGTCTCATTCAGAAGGTTACACATGCCAAGTTCCGCTTTTTCGATCAGACACCACTCGGTCAGCTCATGAACAGGTTCTCCAAGGACATTGAATCTGTCGATCAAGAGGTAGCGCCAGTCGCCATTGGTGTTGTCCATTGCTTCGCTTCCATCATCACGATCGTCATTCTTATCTCCATCATTACGCCTGGGTTCCTAATAGCGGCCTTTTTCATCTCCATCCTCTACTTCCTCATCGGTCGCTTCTACATCAACTCGTCCCGCGATCTGAAACGATTGGAATCCGTACATCGAAGTCCGCTGTATCAACAGTTTGGTGAGACACTATCTGGCATGACGACTATCAGAGCCTACGGTGACGAACGCCGCTTCATCCGCGAGAACTTGGCGAAGATTAATACTCAACACCGTCCGTTCATCTATCTCTGGGCAGCCAACAGGTGGCTTGCGTTCCGAGTGGACGTCGTCGGTGCCATGGTCGCCTTCTTCTCCGGAGCTTTCGTGGTGCTCAGCGTTGGACACATTGATGCAGGTGCAGCGGGTCTCGCGCTTACCTATGCTGTTACCTTCACCGAGAACGTCTTGTGGTTCGTCCGTCTTTACTCTGCTAACGAACAGAACATGAACTCGGTTGAGCGTGTTAAGGAGTACCTCGACGTCGACCAGGAAGCTCCATCTGTCATTTCAGAGAACCGTCCTCCATCCAACTGGCCGAGCAAGGGATCCGTAGAGTTCATCAACTACAGCACGCGATACAGGACTGACTTTGACCTTGTCCTGAAGGACTTGACGTTCAAGATCCTTCCAGGTGAAAAGGTCGGTGTCGTAGGCCGAACGGGTGCCGGCAAGAGTTCAATGGCACTTGCCTTGTTCCGGGCGTTGGAGGCTGAGAAGGGCAAAATCTTGATCGACGACATTGATGTTGGCACGATCGGCCTGCACGATCTGCGGGAGAACGTCGTCATGGTACCGCAAGGTAAGCACATCTTTATATCTTGTTAGGGTGGAACAGATGCTAACACTACACAGATCCGACACTTTTCACAGGCACTATCCGAAGCAATCTCGACCCCTTCTCTATCTTCACTGATGAAGAGATCTACACCGCCCTTCGCGAAGTCAACCTGATATCTACTCTATCACGCCCCGCGTCCGGCTCTGTCACTCCTACTGGAGCGACCACCCCACCTCGCGCTGTCCAGATTCCCGTTCCGACAACAAACGCTGTGACAGCGGATGTCAACGGCAGCTACTCAGCCGCTACCACTAATCCCGGCTCCATTCTGGCGAACCGCGACTGGGATCGTGGCGAGACACAGGAAGACACGGTCGTGGTCATGCCTGATGGGCGTACTGTGGACCGCGACGATGTAGCGGCACAGGCTGCTATGGAGGCCGACAACAAGAACCCATTCAAGAACCTCAACTCATTGGTGTCGGAATCCGGGTCCAACCTGTCGCAAGGTCAACGACAACTTTTGTGCTTAGCGCGAGCGCTACTGAAAGCACCCAAGGTTCTGCTGATGGACGAAGCCACAGCGTCCATCGACTATGCCACCGATGCGAAGATCCAAGAAACCATCCGTCAGATCAAGAACACCACCATCACGATAGCGCATCGTCTCCAAACGATCATTGACTACGACAAGGTCCTTGTTCTGGACAAGGGTGAGGTCATCGAGTACGGCCATCCCTACGATCTTGTACGAAAAGATGGCGGTTCATTCCGATCTATGTGCGAAACCAGCGGCGAGCTAGAGACCTTGACGACTACTGCAAAGACTGCGTACGAGTCGAAACCTACATCAGCTGCCGAATAGAAGATCGCAGCACCGCCGTACGGTTGAAGGGTCTTGGGATGAGAGGGGAGAGTCAAATTTAGACGGAGTTGGAAATGGAAAAAAAGCATGTGATCAAGGTTTTGCATGAGCGAGGCATTATTTCCTTCTGTTTCATTGTCGGCGTATACCAGACAGGGCCTATGGGTGGTTACCTGCTCTTAGTGTGCATATAATTATAATCGACACATTGACGTACCCACCTTATGCAAGAAAAAAACTGAATAGGTCTAGAGCCTACATCAACGCCAGGTTACCTATTTTGTAGGTTTTTGTGTTGATGTAGGCTGTAGGCCTGTCCAGCTTTTTCATAATTAACGTGTACCACTGAACACCCTAGAGCCTACATCAAGATAAAAACGTACAAAGTAAGCGGTCCAAGGTCAACGTAGGCTCTAGGATGTTCAGGGTTTTCCATTGTGTGAGGTGACCTGGGTAAGCGGTGCTCGTCAGCATGTACATGTCAGCCACATGTGAGATGAAGTATCGGATCTTGGCGGATCTGACAAAACGCACCACCACGTCGACGACAACCACCGATCAGTAAACAGAAGCAAGAAGCCAAATAATTACTATCAGCCAGTCCCGCCACTGCGTTCTATCGATAAGTTTTGATCGGTCAGCAAAAAGTGCAAATTACGCCGTTGGGCTTTGTGGCTTTCACTGCATGTACCAATCACGTGGCAGTCTATCCGCCGCTTTCGGGTCTTACTTGCCTTGTCCGGCGTCTTATCAGCGTTTTGTCATGCAACGCGATCTGGTGTATGAGTATTCGCTCTGTGGTGAATAATGGCTTTTGCTTACTGTAGCGGTGATTTGTCGTTGGGGAGGAGGCTGTGGAGATGGCCTTTGCGTGCGTTGGCTGGATTGGAGGAGGGGAGCAGAGCCGCTTGATGATTAGAATAGATGGTAAAGTGTGTAGGTATAAAGGGGTGTTACACCGGAAATGTTCGAGTAGCCTTTTTGATACTATCCATCCTGTGAGATCTCGTTCGCGTGTCTGGAAACCATGGACACCATCAAGGAGATCGTCCGCGACGCGCCTTTTGGCCAACTCGTCCGCTACGCAACACGTAACCGGTTCTTCAAGTACCCAGAAGAGCTACCCGGTTTCGAAATCCCACCTGCATACATCGACGTCGAGAAACTTCCCTCACATACCGCAGGAGTTGAAGGGACTTCGACACGCAACTCAACCTCAACCACCCCGCTGCCATCGCACACCCTGCCATTCAGCCCCTCACGCCTCGAAGCCGACCTAGCCCTCCATGCCACCCAATCGAACAACCACGCCATCGCCCCCGTCAAGACAGCTGACGGCCTCATACTAGCAGAGTGGTACACCACGACCGACACAGCGAACCCGCAAAACTGGTCGCAAGGCAAAAAGGCTTGGACGGCCTTCTTGATCTGTCTGTATACGTTCATTGTGTATGCGGGTAGCTCGATCTATGTTAGTAGTACGCTGTTGGTTATGAGTGAGTTTGGGGTGGGGGCGTTTAAGGCGAATTTGGGGTTGGCGCTTTATGTGCTAGGTATGTTGCTGGCCTGCGATGAGAGAGATGATGGATAGGATGGATAGCTGACGGTGTGTAGGATATGGCATTGGGCCGTTGTTGTTTGCGCCTTTGAGTGAGGGTATGTGGTATCCTCTCCAATCCTTCTTCATCGGATGCTCGTCCCATGTGAGGAAGTTATCGCAGACGTAGGTCTTGCTGACAGCCCATCACAGTACCACAACTCGGCAGAAACATACCGTACATCACCACTTTCGCGCTCTTCACCATCCTCACTTTACCTACCGCACTGGTAGACAACCTCGGCGGCTTCCTGTTCCTTCGCTTCCTACTCGGCTTCTTCGGAAGCCCCTGCTTAGCGAACGGTGGAGCTACGATGCAGGATCTGTACTCTCTGCTCCATATACCATATGGCCTAGCTTTCTGGACAGCAGCCGCGTTCGCTGGACCAGCTCTAGGGCCTCTTCTATCTGGCTTCTCTGTCTATGCGGAGAACTGGCGATGGTACGTCTTCTTGTTCTATCGACCTAGCCTTTTTCTTTCATCGATGCTGATTAGTCGCATGTGTTTAGGTCTCAGTGGGAACTCCTCTGGATGGCCGCCCCAGTATTCCTCCTCTTTTTCTTCTTTCTCCCAGAAACACAGCCCACTACCATCCTTCTCCACAGATCTGCTCGCCTTCGTGCGCTAACCGGCAATCCCAATATCCATACGCAAACCGAGATCGATCGCAAAGGCACCAAGTTCTCCGCAGAACTCCTCGATACGCTCATCAAGCCTTTGGAAATCTGCGTCAAAGACCCTGCTCTCTTCTTCATCAACGTCTACTCCGCGCTGACATACGGTATCTACTACTCCTTCTTCGAGGTCTTCCCTCTCGTGTATCTGGAAATATATGGATTCAGCGTCGGCGAGATGACCATTGTGTTTCTGGTCATCATCGTGGGGTGCGTTGCTGCTATGACAATCTACTTCTCCTATCTGAGGTTCTACCTCATACCGGATATCCTCAAGAGAGGGCTGAGACCTCAAGAGCATAGACTCGTGCCGGCGATTTTCGCAAGCTTTGGGGTACCAATTGGATTGTTCATCTTTGGTGAGTCTGATTGCACGACTGGACTTGAGACATTGGGTACTAATGGCGAGATGTGTAGGCTGGACGGCTCGTCAATCTGTACATTGGATTGTTTCGACCATCGGTATCGCTATATATTCGACTAGCGTGTACATCATCTTCCAGGCTGTCTTTTGTAAGTTATCGCCTATACCTCTACTGTGGTTACTGTTCATATCGCTAACGTTTTTTCAGCATACGTGCCCATGTCTTACCCGCAATACGCCGCGTCCCTCTTCGCAGGGAACGACTTCTGTCGCTCTGCCTTCGCTTTCGGATCCGTACTCTTCTCTCGCCCCATGTATCTCAAATTGGGAATAGGAAAGGGAATCAGTCTTTTGGGTGGCCTGAGTGTCATGGGTATTGTGAGTTCGAAGAGGATAAGCCAGTCTGCGAGTGCGCGCTAACTCGAAGTAGATCGGAATGTATCTGATTTGGGTTTATGGTGCGAGGCTGAGAGCGAGATCGAAGTTCGCTGTATGAGATGCGCGGCGACGATGATGATGGAGATGGCGTCATGTGTGGAAGGCTGGGTGGCTGGCATCATCTTGCCTGCCTCGAAATGCGAGAGCTGCGTACTTGGTCTAGACGAAATTGGGAATGGACCCACCACGCCCGGACTCCGCGGCTCATCATTACGTGCATCGCTGGAGACGCGTGATACGCGTCGATTTTGATAGCATCTAAGAAGCGTTTTCAATGCCACATAATGCATAGCGTCCAAGAGTTCGTGAATCATGATCTCGTCGCGTTCCCATGAAATTACGAATATGATGCCGCGGTCTTCACCCGGAAGTATCGAGCAGTAAGGCCCACACAGCGGGGGGTGCGAAGGGTACGTCTACGCGTACTATCAGCGCAGAGCGCAATTGTTCCTGACGCGTGATATAGTGCCATGCTACAAAAAAAACGACGATACGCGCTGCTACGACGCGTCGACCCCGCGTCCTTCACACAAGTTTCCGCCGACGTTGCGCACGATTTCCGGTGAAGTCACCTGCTTGCCTTCGAACTGAAGATTCTAGAAATAGGTGCATTGCATACCTACTGGCGTATGGGCTGATGCGCTTGTCGTCAGGAGCTCCCCGTGTTAGCGAGACTGCCATTTGCCATGGCCGTGACGCCTGCCGCCACCGATACCGCCAATGAGATTGATTGCACCCGCCCTGCCTTGCGATGACTTTCCGGTGAGTGCTGCTGCATGTTAGGCCTCATCGCACTACATCAATGTATCTCCCGTCAATTTTACGCGGCGCTGTGCACCCTATAGCGCTCTCAATACCGGCTATGCTTTGACATTGTAGCGCTGAACGCTTTCTACTTACATTCCACTACAACCCCACTATAGCGCTGGCCATGTCAAGCTCCGTGCCTTCCAACACAGCAGGTAAGTACTTACTGTTCAACAAGCGCACCTTTTTGCTTATGTAGTCTTCAAGCACCCATACGTATCTTATTGTAGAACTTACCTCGAAGATGCCCGTCAGGATCCCTTGTTCAACGCACCGCATCTGAAGAAGATTTCCGTGATTACCTATCCGAATCTCCTTCGCAATGGCACCCTGGAAGTTACAAAAACGGCGCTCGCTTTGCTTGGTTGTACACACATGCCATGGCTTATAGCCTCCAACTTTCTTCGGAGTTTAATCCAGAAGACTATGATCCGATCAAGACAGCTACCAAAAAACGTGAAGATCCGAAGTTACTCTTCCTTAGTGGTTATTCCTCGGCTGATTGTGTGATTCGTTGACCCATGGTGTGATGTTGGTGGTCACGTCACGTCGTGGAGCGAATCGGGCGTAGCGCCTTCCATACGGCAGGTGCGACTAGACTTCACCCCAGGTCCCCAGCACATCTCACCCTCTCAATTACACCATGGCGAATCCGAACGCCTTTACGGATAGATTGCGTGGAGCAACAAGGCAGACGAGACCGATGGACGATAATGGGGATGCGTGAGTACCTTCGCTCCTTCCTGTTTCTGACTAACAATATGTAGGGATTTGGTGGCAGATGCAGGTGCGGATGAGGATAGGGAGAGAGTAGATGGTGGAGAAGTTGCGACGCCGATGCCGCCGCCTGGAGCACGCCGGCAAGACTCCAGCTCGATCATGAGGGCCGAGTTCAACCCCGAAGTGACGACCCCATTCGGTGATGATGAGCGGCAGCAGCACACCACATCACCCCGCGCCATAGTGAAAGGCGTCCAACTGCAGGTGTTTCGTGCGATGGAGACGAAAACGTTCGATTTCGAGATGCAGGATAAATTGGCTGCTGCGCGTGCAAAGCTGGACTTGTTGCGAAGGAAGCAAGAGTTCCTTGCGGCACGAGGTATACGTCATCCTCTAAACAGACACGGAGCAAGCGATGCCGAGGCGTTCCGCAAGCTATTTTTCGAATTTGTCGAATTCGAGGCACAAATCCGCAGGTCGAATGAGCCGGCAGCAGAGCTAAAGGGAGAGAGGGAGAAGTATGGACTGCAACCAGGGGAAACCATGGAGCAGAGATATGATGAGTTGGCTTTAAGGTTCAAGAGCCTCAAAGCCGAGCATGAAGGAGAAGATGGGAAAGGGGGGCTGGTATCCAAGTACGATGCTCTCGAGAAGAAACTCAACGAGCTGAAAGAGATGTATGACGGGGGAAACGGCAGAGGGAGGCTTGTTTCAGAGCTTGAGCAGCTGAAGCAAAACCATACGGACTCGACCGGCAGGTACAACGACCTGTCGGAAAAGTACCATGGTAAAGACGGCAACGGGGGGGTTGTTTCAGAGCTTGGGCAGCTGAAGCAACATCATGGGAACTCGGCCGACAGGTCCGAGCACCTGGAGGAGAGCGACCGTGGGAAGGGCGGCCAAGAAGGACCAGATGCAGCGCATGGCAAGCTCAGGAATGAAGCGGAAGTTACGGCAGCGCAGCCTGAGACGACGCAGGCAGATAACCAGGAGCTCACAAAGGAGGTTGTCAGTCTGTGGGCAGCTGCCGGGTCGTGGAATCGTGTTGCGGAGGCTTTGGAGAAGACCGGTGTCAACACCGATCATCTCTACAGGTACCTCAACCACGCTGCCGCGGTTTCCAAGATGTGCGCTGATATCAAGACATGGACGGCGAGCATTGATGATGCTGACGCCCTTGGGCTGTTCAGGGCTTCTCAGGATATTGATGAGGCGGAAGGCAGCTTGGACGACTCTGACATTCTTCATAGAGCCCGGCGGGATGGAGGAGCAACGGAGAATTGGGGCGATCTCGTGGGGGACGGTGGCGGGTGAGCGGCAACGTGAGGCGGCCTGGTGGAAGGATGCTGCGAAAAGGGCGGATGTGGCGATAACGCAACGCGACGCCGCGATTCAGCTACTGCGTGGGTACATAGAGAAGACCGGTTAGTCGTCGTGCTGATGGAAGCTTTCTTCACTGCTAGAGCCAATGTCGAGGTTCTGATCTTGAATTCAGCTACCACGTGTACCTAGGGAGTACATTTTAAGTGATAGGTACCTAATAACGAGCTTCTCAGTACTCATGTCTCTCAACTCTCCAAATCATACAGCAAGCACCCTCCAGTCCTGAAATTGTACACGAAAGCCTTTCCCACAGCCCCTTCTCCATTTGATCCACCTTCACCCTTGTTCTCTACCCACTTCGCCCTATAGCCCAGCAGTAAGTCATGCAGCTCTTGCAGATACTTCCTCTCAGCAAGCGGCATCTTTTGTATGAAGTAACGCCACGAGTCCGGATCGCTGAGACGCGTCTCCTTGAGCAGATTCATGACCTCTTCCTTTGACTCGATAGCAGCGATGGGTGCGGATTGGAACGCGGAAAGGAGATCTGTCGATCGCGATTGTGCAGCCTCAACGATAGACCATTTGTTGCTCTTCTTGGATCGATGTTGAGCAATGAGGACGTCGACATTCGCTTTTGACGCGTTGGAAGTGTTGCTTGAGGTTGGTGGCGGAGCCTTGATGAGGCGGGCTGCGCTCCCTTCGCGTTCTTCGCGGTCTCGGAGCTCGTTGCGGAGGTAGTTGAGAAGATCGGTACTGCGCAAATCTGTGTCTTCTTTCTTTGCGATGGATTTGACCTTGAGCTCCGGCTTGTCAGGGGCGACGCCGTGTTTGATGACGATAACCCAGCTATGTCTGTCTTCGCGATAGTGACGTAAAATGTCTTCGATGGAGTGCGCATCGACGGCGAGTTCGGCGGTATAACCATGGGCGATGAGGTCTGCTACCATTTTGATGCCAGTGGAACGGAGGACGTTCGGATCGAAGCTAGCCACTAGACAGTCGCAGCGTCGTGGCATCCAAGAGATGGATGGCGTATCTTCTTCAGCGTGCTTCCGCAAGAACGTTGACTTCTCAGGCTTCTTGATGTATCGGCTCATGGAGTTGACGAGTCTGTCCCACCCCAAGTTTACACCAACAGCGTGGTAAGCAGCCGCTGGATGTGCATGATTCGAGCCTCTCGGGCGGTATTCTTCGATCAGCTTATCGTACCGGCCACCTGCAGCAAGCACTTCCCTCTGCTTTGTGTCGAACAGACATTGGAAGAGAATGCCACCGGAATAGAACTTCTCATTGAAGCTGCTCAGTACACTGATGTAGATCTTGCGCTTCACGCCCCATAACTTCATGTAATTGATAACAGAGGTTAGGTGTGCAAAGACAACGTGAGTCCGATCAAGGTACTTGGTGCCTTCAAATAGTCGCCGCAGCTTCGCAAAAGCCTTTTCTGGGGTGTCGCGCCAATCGAAGCGTGCCAAATCATCTAACGATGTTGATGGAATGCCAATGTCGGAGGACCGTAGTTCGTTGCGTATCAACTGCCAGTTGTTCTTTCCGATGTTCAGCTTACTAAGGACTGCCTTGACTGCCGCGCGCTTTGGGACACTGATTCTGCAGAACTCCATGATCATATCTAACAGATCGGCGTGATTCAGGTGGAAGCACATCTGCGTTGATCTGAATGAAGGAAACTCATCGATGATTTCATCGACGACCTTGAGAACCTCTGCCTCCTTCAAAGTGAGGTCGAGCGTATCGTAGGACAATATATCGAAGTCTGCCTCGCCGTTACTACGTGGAGCACTTCCGGTGTAGTCGTCACGGTAGACATGACCGATCGTAAAAGTCTTCTCTAGGAACGCTCCACCTCGACCGATGCTACGTGCGTACGGCAATGTCAGATCGTAAGGTAGCTGGACTAGGGTTCCAGAAGGATCAAAAAGCTTGACGACCTTCGTGTCCGCATAATGGTCGGACCAGGGTAGTAGAACTTGACGTTGTATCTCAACAGCGCCGTGGCTCCGGAAGACCATGGCCAATCTGTCCCTCACTAGATTCTGCAGAAGCACATCATTAGCCTTGATCTTCTGAGTGGTCGCGCTCAGATCCCATGCATGGTCCTTTGCTTGCGTATCGGGCTTTTGTGAGAAAAGAGCGGCCATCATCTTTGCATAGTGAGGCGAATTTCGATCGGACAGGGCCTTGAGCGCTTCTTTGACGGCCTCGTCCTCCATCTGAGCGGGTACCTTGCCGCTTCTCAAAAGCTCCGTACATCCGGGCCTCTCTGAAGGGCGATGGCTGATGAGAGACTTGATGATGGTACCCTGCAACGACTTTTCCGGCGTCTCGAACTCTTGCGGAAGATCGTGTTTCCGCTCGCGTAACGATCGGATGACTTTGTCGCGCTCCATGGCAGTTCTCAAGGGAAAGCACATCTCGAAGAAGATGATGCCCATGGAGTACATATCCACCTTGTTGTTGTAGTCGCCAATAACGGTTGAGCTGAGCTCAGGAGCAACATAAAGCGCAGTACCGACACTCCGCGTCATGTCGCCACCATCCTGTGTACCATTGGAGGACTTTGTATCAGGCCTCTGATATTGGCCGCTGGTGGCTAATCCAAAATCACCGATCTTAGGCACCTTGGCCATGTCGATGAAGACGTTGTCAGGTTTGAGGTCACGATGGATAATACCGTGGCCATGGATGTGAGCGAGCCCTTCGAGAATTTGTCGGAACAATCTCCAGTACTCGTCGGGATCGTCATAAAGTCCGGTGCGTATCAAATCTCGGAGTGTCTGCTTCTCGCAAAACTCCATTTGAATGTACAAGATTGACCTCGAGGGCTTTGCGGGTGTTGAGTCGGACATGGCGCGTTTCTTGACTGGCGAGAGTGGTCCTATGCTTGCCTCATCTTCTGCCTTCAGTCAGCTTGTTGTATACATGACGCTCCATGCCATTGGCTGCTTACCTGAGTCGGAGCCAAAGATTACTGCACCGACGTCATCTTCGGATTCTGCGTCAGACCCAAATTCGATCTTGGGATATCCACTGGAGCTAATGAAGTCTAAACCTCCAGTGCTTCTTCCGTGACCGCCACCATCAGTCGTAGTCGTGCCTGGAGAAACGTCCGATTCCCAGTCAGACTCGTCGCCATCTGATGTTGCCGAGTCATAGTAATCATCTGCTTCGGCCTCTGGCCAGGCGGTGTAATAACGTACCACACAGCTGTGGTTGAGCCGCGAAAGTAGCATGACTTCCGAAAGGACTTCGCTTAACGCTGCAGCAGACTTCTGCTTGATCTTCTTGATAGCATAAAGACGACCGTCCACTTTGTTGCGGGCCTTTACGACTTCGCCGTACCCGCCCTTGCCCAAGCGACCTTGTTCGGCCCAGTCATTCGCGTATCGTGAGTATGACGGAACAACACCAGAGGAGGACTCTCGTCGCAGCCTATACCGACCCAATGAAGTTGAAGAGTTCCTCGAACGTACGGGTGTGGAGGGTCGCTCGTATACGTCTACATCGTCGCGCAAGAACTCACATGGGATGAGGTCAAAGGCTGAGGGTCGTTTCTTGGGGTCGGGCTTGAAGAACTTGCGCAGAACTTCTTGTAACGGTTCGGAGCAGCCAAGAATATCGGACAGTTCTTTGGGCGAATTGTACTTTTCAGGCACATCGAGGCCGAAGAGCATCTGAAGGAACGTGACGCCGAGGTCCCATACATCCGTCTTGCGGGTGTGACGCGCATCCTGAGACAGCTCGGGCGCTATCCAGTAAAAAGATCTTACAATTTTCATCGGCTGTTCATCCCAGCACAAGCTTCGCAGATGATAAAGAGAGCCTTGAAAGCTCGCGTCGGCTAGCAGTACTGTGATTCCACCACCGGGCGATCTCTTGAACAGGATGTTGTGAGGGTGAATGCGCTTATGGACTATACCGTTGCGGTGGTAGAAGTCCAGTGCTTCTAGAAGCTCGATGGTCCAGGAACGAACTCTTGCGACTGGTAGGGGTCCATCGTCGGCAAGCCGCTCGCCTAGAGATCCTTTGTCGGCGTGGTCCATGAGGATGCTAATCTCCCATCCTGAATCGGGTAGATGCTCTACTTTGAACTCCAGCACCGCCATGATGGCTCCTTGTCGCAGTCGCTTGATCTCTTCCATCTCGTCTTCGAATTCCATAACGGCCTTTTTGAGCTGTGGGCCAGCAGCAGCGTTTCCGCCTCCCACCCGAGCACGCTTTAGTACTAATGTAAGCGTTGCTGTGCTTCCGGCCGGTTTTACCAATAGCTGTTCGGTCAAAGGGCCAGAGCGTAACGGAAGCGGATTCTCAACACCACTGCATTGGATGGTCATGTCTTCGTGCTGGACAACGATCGTCCTGTCGAATGAAATGTAGTTGTTGCCCTCGGCGCTGGGAAAGTACGAAGGCGGAGTATTGGCGGATACACGGTGCTTCTTGCGCTTTGCCAACATGTCTTTTCGGCGCATTTCGTCACCTACCATCTGCTGCAAAAGACGCTCCTCCTCAGCCTTCTCTTCGTCACGCTTCTTCTGTAGCTCTTCCTCCTGTTGCTTTAGATGCTCGACAGCAGCGGCTTCTTGTACTGCACGCTCGGCATCCAGGTTCTCGTAGGTCCCGTCCGTCTCGCGAACAGCGATCTCGTCCTCTAGTATCTCTTGAATGGCCGTCGCAATATCGTAGATCATCACCTCGCCTAGCAGTTCACGAGGTCGAGACTTGAGCAGGCCATAGAGCCTGTCCCACGTGCTTTTCCTAAGGCTGCCACAGTCCTCCAGGGAAAGTTCGGGCAGGGTCTTGGGGTATGTAGCGGTAAGCTTCGCACAAAGCGTGATGGAAATCTTTTCGTTAGAGAAAGACGTCAATTTGACGCGCAACACGCGATCTGTAGTTTTCTGTCATCTAGTCAGCGGAGGTCCATGACAGAAACTCTCGTCTTTCATAAATTAGATGCAAAACTTGAACACCCTAAAGGGTATATCGTCGCGGGTCTCCAGGTCGCGTGGGCGTAGAACCTAATCGGCGACTCCAACAGTGAGGTCTCTGTACTTACGCTCCATGCTCCTTTGGCTTCTGATTCTTCATAGTCGTCCATGAACACAGCCTTCAAGACTTCGCGTTCATCTTCTTGTGCCTTCTCGTAGGTTTCGGAGGTGTGTGAGACCAGCGAAGGTCGCGGTTCCCCGAGCGGACTTGTTGGGCCCATGTCATCGTCTCCCGGCGTGGATGCATTGTGCGTTTGTTTCTTGTTCTTCGGTGTTCTTAGCGGTGCCATAGTGGGCTACTGGTGGTTGATTGAATAGGCCGTCATATAGTATGGGTATTGACGGAGAGACTAGCAGCCGTAGCCGCTGCCCTTCACACTGCAGACATCTCGATCTTAAAAATTTGTAGTGAATGAGAAGTGATGAGAATGGCGATATGTAGAAACTTCGTGGCCAGCGCACGTCGAGTAGCGGTCGGTGGGGGCGATATGTTGGCGACGCCCCGCTACCCTTCCTTTCCGCGCCATCCCTGCAGGCGCCAGCAGAGCCGCCGGACGCGACTTCCTCATGTCTGGAGATCGACGAGCAGGCACAACAAACAGCACCGCACCTTCCCTTACCCTGACGATGCGCTAGCAGCTTGTCGCATGCTATCCTGGAGGTGTTTGCGACTCATCTGGAACTATACGAAGTGCACGAAAGCGTCCAGTCCACCTTCAGCCCTCATTTTCTGCGAGTAAACAATCCGCCAAACAAACACACGGAAATCTCCACACGGCGCATGCGATCCCCATCCTCCCACCAACCCTCTTAGTTCTCTTCACTCGCCCCACGACGGCGACCCACGCTTCGCCATGTTTTCGTGGATTACCGGTCCGCGCATCACGAACGTGATAGAAGATCTCCAGCCTGGTTTGTCGCACTGAGCTACGCGTCGAGAGACGTACTAACAGTCTTAGAAAATGACTACGAGTCCACCTTCATCGAACCTCCCGAGACTCCCGCTCATCAGTTCGCCGTCAAAGCTTTCAAGCACGCCATATTTGGAACGCCTGCACCCGAAGAAGCGAAAGATGCCTCCAAGAAGAGCGAGAGGAAGGCGAGGATAGATGCAGCAAACGCAAAAGCATTTAATCTCCCCGCGCCGAAAGAGAGTGGGCCGCCCATCTCTCCATCGAAACAGCCAGGCGGCATCCTCATGACACCAGGTACCGCAAGCAAGGGAAGGAAGCAGGTGTCGTTCGGGTCGCACGTGGTAGACAATGAAGGCAAGCGCGGCAATATTGGCAAGACCGGCATACCCAGTGACTGCCCCGGAAAGTTCCCGAGCCCTTGGACACCTGGCACACAACTGAAGCTTGACCCGGAAAGTGACAAACGACCGCGCACCCGCCTCACCGAAGCCCTCCTCGACGCGCGGACAACCACACAGCCGAAGTCGGGACAGAAACCGAAGGCGAGAGACGACAGCGACATCACAATAGACTTGGGTGCTCCACGTTCGGAGTCTGGGAAATACTGGAAGGAGCAATACGAGAGCTACGCGGACAAGAGCGAGAAGGAGATGAAGAAGGTCATTGCCAAGCAGCAGCTGGCGAAGAAGTTCGCTATGAAGAAGGACGGCGAAGCCACGGAGCTATCTACCAAGCTCGAGCAGGAACGCAAGCGATACAGGCAACGGGAGCGAGACCTGGAACAGCAGAACAAAGATCTCCAGGAGAGGCTACGTCAAGCAATGGCTGAGAGCATGTCGTCGAGTATCGAAATTGCAGCGCTAAAAGCCCGAATTACAGTCCTTGAAGCGTCAGGCTCGATACCGTCCTCTGAGCTCCCACAGAACAAAGCTCCATTCGAAATATACGAAGATGCGAATAAGGATAACCCACAATCGCCCACGCGTGGCTTAGATATGGACCCTGAAGTTTCATTCGCTCCCAATAACAGCATGGCTTCGTCTACCAAGGAGAATTCGTCGCCCAAACCCCGCCGTCACCGCCGTGGTACGATCCCGGACACATTAAACCGACCAGTGCTTCCGTCCAGACTTGGAATAGCAGAGGGTGAAGCCTCTATCATCCTAGGCAGATCGTCTCGAGCACCAGCACGCCCCTTTGAGGTCACTCTGGAGAAGGCGCTTGCACAGCCTCAGCAAGAGCAACCGCAGAGATCGCCACTGAAGATCCGCAGGCCAGTCGCAACTGATGAGAATTATGCGCCAAAGTCTCCCGCCGCGATCCCACCGTCCAGTCCGTTGCCTGTGCCATCGCCAGGTCTTGATCCATGGATGGAGATCAACAACAGTTCGATAGCGCAAATGGACAAAATGGCTCTACCAGTCTCTACTGGTCAGCCATACTCACGGCCCGAGTGGAACCCACCACCAAAGCAACATCGAGTATCGAAATCCGTATCGCACGTAAAGTCGACAGAGGCAACCAAGTCAAACGAGAAGGTTACGGTTCCCGAGCATAAGCCTGAACCTACACGACGCAGAGAACGCGCTACCGAGAAGGCGACACACGTCTCAGAGCTCGAGGCAACCTCCGTTTCATCGAAGAGAGAAGAGAGACAGAGGCCGGACGAGTCAAAAGTCAATGCAGTATCCCACCATGCTCCTACCGACAACAAGTTTGACCTCTCGAAAATCACAGCACATCATGCAGAAGGCTCAGCGCAAGTGAAGCATGATCGAAGCCAGATGTTACCTGTTGACCGCAAAGAGCAAGCAAGAAGAAGACTCGAAGAGAGGAAGAGGCTGAGGAAGAATGGTACTACGATCGTCGGTTGATCGTTTGTTGGCGTTTTGCATGGGAGTGTGTTGCGTCTTTTGTCTGGGTGATCAATATGTTCAAGACATGTTATCGGAGTATGGTGTTGTCCTGAGCATTGGATTCTGGTTTATCGCACGATACCTTCACATGCTCCATCGTTTATAGCATTCAGTTGAATATTCATACATTGTATTGTTCCTACTCATGCAGAGCGCTCTACTGTGTCTCATAGGGTATCATCCCAAACGCCTTAGAAATGCTTCATCGCCCTACGCAAAGAACTTACTTCTTACCTGAAGCAATATCCTCCAACGCCTTGTATACCGGTATAGTAGTCTTTTCCAACTGCGCCCGCTGATACGAGGTCATCTTGCCCAACACATACTTGCTCACCACATTCGGATCCCTACTCTCAGGTCTCCCTATTCCAACGCCTACTCTCCACCACTTTACGCCTCCCAGACTTCCCTGACAGCTCTTGATACCATTATGCCCTTTCGCGCTCACGGCACCATCTCGAATCGTAACTTTCCCCAACACAGACTCAAGCTCATCATGCACAACCACCAACCTCCCTTCTAGCGTCGCATTCCCAGCAGCCTGCCGTACAACACGCAACCACTCACTGTACGCCTTTTTCACTGAGCCCCCGCTTATGTTCATCAACGATGTGGACTGCCAAAATGTCCAGTCGTCCATTGCGTCTTTGTCTGTGGCTACTCTCCGGTATCCGGTCAGGCCGAACGCCATGTGTGTGGCTGGAGGTTTTGAAATTAGGCCTGACATGCCTTTTTGGAAAGGACCATAGCGTTTCGCTTCTGCGAGAGCGGAGGTGACGATGTGGCCAGCGGAGTGGAGCGTGTTGGCGTAGGTTGCGCCTGGGTTGCCGATGGAGGCTATGAGGAGGGGGTATGCGGTTTGCGCGGCGGGTTTCGCCATTAAGGGCGACTGTGGTATGGATACGGTTGAGTCGGAGGTTTCGGTGGCAGGCTTGTGACTTTGCTTTGGTGACTTGTTCGGCGGGTTGCGGGGTTGGTTTGTTGGTGTTTCGGTGTCGGAATGTGTGGGCGTAGGGAGGGCGGAGTCGTGTCTTTGCTTCTCTTGTTTGCGCTCTTGTTTGCGAAGCTGCTTGCGCTTCCTTCGTCTTGCGGCTGCGGTCGTGGGCTCGTCGCTGCTGTACTCGCTGTCCTCCGGTGCTGAGGTTTGGACATTTTCTTGGGGATCGGCGGTAGGGATTAGCGAGGCCGCCGAAGGGCTCGCCACGTGCGCACGTGTGCTCGCGTCTGACATGATTTCGGTGGAAAGGGTATTTGGAGAGATGATGGCAAGAGCATTATGCGGGATGTTCGGTCATTAAACTAAGCAGCACTGTGTACTGGTCCACTCTGTGAAGAGTGCCATGGTTCGTCATGACAGCCGCTGTGAATTGTGCCGCTCACAGCCACACGTAAGAGTCATAGGGGATTGCTAAGGGCGCAGCATGGCAAACCGCCCTTTTCCGGATGTGACAAATATGTCATCATGGAAGATTGGAAACGATTTTGCAGACTTCATTAGCATGTGGGTAGTGATTTGAGACGCGCATCGGAAGGTACAGATCGTGAGATCTCTTGGCGTACATCATTGCTCAGGAACAAGGGTCCCGGTTCCGCATCGCTCTAACCCCGATGACACTTGCCACTTGCGCGCCTCTAGCCCTCCTGTCCGGCAACTCTTGACTGATTCACTCGAGTACGGGCGAGCGCACCACAACCACATCTGATCCCTCTCATCATCTCGACATGTCAGGACGACCATCAACGCCGCCACGAGCGACTCGCTCAGCGGGCAAGCTCCCGCCGAATCCGCCCACTCCAGAGCAGATCAGGCGCATGGAAGAGGCTCGTCTGAGGGCAAAGGCGGCTGCACAACAGACACAAGCATCGAAACCTTCACCAGCGCCGGTCGCAGGTGCGAAGCGCGCATACTCGTCAATCACCGCCGCGCAAACTCCAGCCACCCTTCGTAATGCGGCTGCAGCGTCTCCCCAGAAGCGCGACCAAAATGGCTTCATACAGCCCCCCTCGAACGATTACATTCAGCCGGCGAAGAAGTACGCGAGATCAGACTTCATCGACTACGATTTCAGTAAAATGACGGACACAAAGGGAGGATTCTTGAGTACCGTCGATGACCCACATAACAAGGCTATGCGGAAAGGGCAACAGAACGAGGAACAGAAGCCAGAGGGCGTATCAATGGTAGAGTGGGAAAGGGAGCGCATAAGACGAAAGCTCCGCGCCAACCGAGCCGGACCCTACGAGCCGGGTATCTCAATCTTGGACACCGTCAATGGCAAAGAAGAAGAAGACGAGGAAGCCGCACTGCTCGAAGCTGCTGAGAACGCCGAGATCGAAAGCGGTACATTCAAAGGCAAATACGGCGATGGCAAGCGGGACGTCAAAGGCAAATGCCGAGAATGCAATAGTCTGGAGATCGACTGGAAGTGGCAGGACGTATTCGGCATTGGCGTATGCAGTATCTGCAGGGAGAAACTCCCAGACAAATACTCCCTCCTCACCAAAACCGAAGCGCGAGACGACTACCTCCTCACCGACCCCGAACTCAAAGACGAAGAACTCCTCCCTCATCTCGAACGACCAAACCCACACAAACAATTCTTCCATCCCATGCAACTCTTCCTGCGTCTGCAAGTCGAAGCCTATGCCTTCAGCCCCCAGAAATGGGGTTCGGCAGAGGCGTTGGATGAGGAGTATGCGAAGCGACAGGTCGTGAGTAAGGAGCGCAAACAGAAGAAATTCAAGAATAAACTTGAGGATCTGAAGAAGAGGACGAGGGTCGAAGCATACAAGCGGGCGCGGTTAGCAGGCGACAACGGCGATGCGCAATTCGGGCAGAAGATAAAGGGCAGGTATGATAGACATGAGCACGAGTGGGGCAGGAGTGTGCTTGATCCCGAGACGGGTATGACAAAGAAGAGGTGTGAAGAGTGCGGGATGGAAGTGGAGGAGTTGGAGTTTTAGATAGTTTCGAGTGGCATGGCGATGCGATGCGCAGGATGATACCCATATATATCCGCGTTCTTCACCAGGTAACGCGTTTGACTTCTCTCTCGTACCGCATGCTCAGCGTATTTAGGCACAGTAACCACGCTTAGACAGGATCGTATCTAGCGCACAGTTTGGGGCTCGCAGCCTATCACCGTCCCTCAGCGCTAGCCCCACTGCCCCTCCTTCGCTACTGCCTCACACACCACGTCTCGATCTCCTCCTCGTCCCTTGGGTCCCCTTCCACGACATCCACGTCGACCTGTCATACTCAACATTATATTGTTACAAATTACCAAGTTATTCATCGAAACAACTCACGGGCCGGTAACTCAGTGGTAGAGTGTAGGACTGCAGTTGACCAAAAACCGTCTTCCCGAAGTCACCGGTTCGACTCCGGTTCGGCCCTGAACGTTTCTTTTTGCCTTTTTGTCAAGCTGACTGTGTCTTCTTTTTGCCCTAAGCGAGGATGTCAAGAGCTAGCGAGGATGTCAAGAGCTGGCGCGTCGTGGTGCGTGGTTGAGGGCTGTGGCAACCTTTTTGCGCCGCGTGTGAGCATGGTGGGGCAAGACACACATACATTTGGACACTATACGTCGCAGGGACAAACGAAAACAGGACAGGTCGCTTCATGATCCTACTACAAAAGACACGCAGCGCGTTGCCAGACCGTTTCTTCTAGAGCGAACGCCTCCCAAACAACCTTCACTGATCGCGCGGCAACCCTTTGTTCAAAACAGATAGATGTCTTCCACCTGCGAATCCTCTAGTCCTTCCATCGCTTCACCCTCCATTAGACCCAAGACAAAACATTCGCAGATGAGCTGATAATGCCCAGGTTCAGCATCTGGTCGGACTACGAAGGGCATCTCGAGCCCAAATAAGATGACGATCTCGTCTCCGGGCTGTGCGTCAGGATATACGAGGCCCATGAAGCCAGTTGTGCTCACGAAGCACTTGAAGTTCGGACTTCCCTTTCCGCCGTTGGCGCGACACCCGACCTGTTCTACTCTTTGGTTGAGAGATTCTGGGACTTCGAGTTCGATCCTGCCATGCATCCTTCGGGAGATTGGTTCGCCTGTCGTACCGTTTCCCATCGTAGACTTGATTTCAGCATTGTCTTTCCGCAGATCGTATCCTCGAGAAGTTACATCGTCTTTGATACACGACCAAATGCTAGTGACTTGCGGCAATACTTGATCATCTCGCCGCGGATGTATATGCGCACTCGCGACATACGAATACGCGTGCTGGGTAGACAACGATGTGTTGCAGTACAAGGAATGTGCTGTGCCAATGAGATCATAGTAGTCGCTGAAGGAGTCGTTTCCACGACGGGGTATGAAGCCTTGAATCGTCAAAACGCGTGATCCCTGAACCCGTAAACAAGGACCTCTTTCCACCCGGCCGATGTGCTCGTGTCGGGCGAGAATGGTCGCGTTTGATGCTCTTCCTTTCGAGACTGAAGAACCATTGGCTTGGAGGCATCCCATCAGTAGACCCGATGATCTTGGTAACGCCTCTGTCCAGTCTGGAATCCAAGACGGCCAATATTCTCCTTCTGTGGTGACCCGCGCATGTGGCCTCTCCTGGTTGGTTACCGCCAATAAGCCAGCGTCTTCGAGGAATGTGATGTTTGCATGAGCTCCTTGAACCTCCATACATGCAACGCAGGCAGAGAGGTACACATCTAGAACGGGAAGGCTGTAATCCACTATAAGACCTGGGCTGGCTATATTGTGTCGGCTCAATAAACCCATTATCCCATAGACCTTATCACGTGGGTTCGTGGCTTTGCGGGGGCGAATGATGCGCAGGATGTTTGCCCTACGAGCAGTCAGCACGTTCGCATCATTGCTGAAGCAGACTTATCACACAAACTGTACAGAAGAGGACTTACAGCGTTTTATGATATGTGAGTTCCCTCCCACATGTTGTCTTATCGATCGAACCAGACTCCATGTAAAGGTTTCGCAAGACATCGAGTTCTGCAAGTCTTCTGCATTCCACTAGGAAATCGCAGTTATGCGCTTGGAGACAAGCGCTGATAAGTTCCTGCCATTCCAGCGTGTTGGGGCCAAAATATATCACTGCCTCTCGAGCCAAGATCAACTCTTGCAGAGTCCAGACGCGCTCAAACCAGGGCAAGCGCGTTACGCAGTTCAGAGCATCGATACAGGCCTTTGGTATGTGAAACTCATGTGTAGGCGGCAATTTCCATGGCAGCCAATCCTGTCGATCTTCAGAGGCTGCATCACCGAATGACCCGTTGTTGAGAGCTTCGAGAATCGCGGGCTCACGACCCTTCCAGCTGTTGAGATTATCAATTGCCGTCTCAACGTCTTTCGCTGGATGAATTCTACATGGTGGGCACCAGATGATGACTCTCTCTGCTTTGGAATAGATTCGATCCATCATAGGTATTTGGAAAGACTTCTCTGCGTTGTCGCTTTGGTTGATACATATTGCGTCGATCCAGAGTAAGCGCCAACCTGTCGCAGGCCGGAGGAAATGGAGGATATGAGAGACTGTGACGCTGACGTTTAAGGTCGACTGATCGACGTTGCGAACAGTACAATTCGTCGCTGTGCCGATATTCTCGTTCAATTCGAGTGGCCATCCAGTTCCACGGCCCCAAGCATAAGACACCGTCTCATATGAAGGAAGGTCTTTTATTGGGGCTTCTAGCAAGTAAGCTACGTCTTTGGGGTCTGCGGGCCATGCGAGGAGCCTGATGGTATCTTGTGGCCTGTGCAAGGCGCGGTACTGGTAAGTCTCATGGAATGGAGGCTTCTCTTCTTTCGACAGCACGTGGCATCCTTCGCACAATCCATCATCTTCTTCTCCTTTGGGGACAAATGGTGAGCCTAAAATGGGGAGACTTGTTTCAAGTCGCTGTTCCGTAGCCATTGTATTGCTGTTCATCGGATACCTGACAAGATGCGTGATTGAGGATAGAACGAGGTGCTTTCATGCCCATGCAAGACCTCGTAAGAGTGTACAGTTGGGAAGAAGCGACTGTCTTCCTGTGAAGTTGCATACATGCCCACTATGCGATAGTGGGTTGGCAAATGCAGTCACATGCGATATCAAGCGCGGGGTGGTTTGCGGCACAGTTGTGGCGACCAGGGTGATGTCGGAGGCTAGTACTCTTCTGATCGCATGGTCGCCTACTCGCTTCGTTAAGTAATGTTCAAAACCGAATGAGGCGACCTTGAAGTTCAACTCATAGTAACGTTCGCGATGCTTTGGGCCCCCGCTGGTGACGACACCGGGGAGAACGTGCCGAAGGACGCACAGCCAGTGACCAGAACGTCACCACCTTCGGCCTGCGTCTTCGCACATCGGGTACATGTCGAAGATGACTTAGCGATGCGCATGTCGATGGGAATGGTGTCAGAAGATGAGAGAAGTGGTACAGCATCACCTCCACCATGCGCTGGAGACCCTCTCGTCTTAGCGTCGGATTTAACCAGTTACCATAGCCCCGGAGCATTACAACACGAAGCCACGCCCACGTCAGCACACACCTGCATCTAGACGCCGTTTCTCCATAATCTAGTCAGCACCACATGATCGTCAGACGATTATATCAGCCTATATTCCGATCAACTTTTATCGGCACCGCACAAAGCTCGTCTGTCCATCGACTGCGTGCAAGATTCTACACGTCCGCAATGTCAGCCATCCCGATCGTAGTCTGTGGCAGAAACCCAAACATCGCAAAGGCCGTTCGCGAGGGCGTGGAACCAGAATACGATGGTATGCCTCGATACTTTGTGCAACACTTCACGCATACGTATTCAACTAACACATCCATCCAGTAATCCACATCAACCTGTCCGTCGAAGAAGCAATCATCTCCATCCCTCACATCATCTTATCCAGGACACCAGCCAACCCTACCCCCAACATCGGCTCCATGAACTACGGCCAGCGCCCTGCTGCTGTGGCTCTTGGAGGCGGCTTTAACGACGAGATGTTTGAGCAGATTAAAGCCTCTTGTGGGGATGAGAAGATGGTTTGGGTGCGCACGGATATCACGAGAAAGGATGAGATGCCGGATTTCAATGAGCATGAGGCGTACGGGAAGGCGACTGCGCAGCGGTTGAAGAAGTGTTTGGATGGGTTGAAGGTTGGGAAGGAGGGTGGGGAGACGGAGGGGATGTACTGGTTTTGAGGTTTAAAGGAGGCTTGGTGTATTATGACACGGCAGCAAACGATGTTATGGTGTATAAGGATACAAGTATATGACACGTAGCAAGGGGCCTTTTCGACATTTTCCAGCGCAACAAACAAATTCACAAGCACATAGTGTGTCTTCCAGAAGCTTTTGGAAAATTGTAAGAAAATGTGCACCATGCGAAGAAAGCAGTAGCAAGAACAGGCTGACTTTTACCTTCTCCGCTAGCGTTTTACTAGCAGACTTGTATCATGTTTAGACTCAGCCGCCGATATTTTCCCCAGATGACCAGCCGCCGGGGTGCGTGAGATACATAGAACTGTTTTCAAATGATTTTGGGGAAAGAATCCATGATAGTAGTTCGGCCATTTTCTTCGAACAACAGCTGGGCAGAGTCAACCGAACAAATCCATGTCATCATCTTCGCCATATTTTGGTACATTGAGATTTAAAGATGAAGTAGGTGTGGTGTTCATAGCCACGGAAAGAAGACTTTATATTGACATCCCCGCAGGCATTTGACTGCCGCAAGCATGCAGTTGCCCTATCCTTATTTTTGGACACCCAAGAACAGGAATTTCGTCGTGAAAATTGCGGAGTTTTACCAAATCAAGAAACTCGGACATTTCGAGGTCATAGAGAGGTATAATCTAAGTTTGAAGTCGCAAGATTAGCACGCGCCATTGTACATCGTCTGGCGCAATTCCAGCGAAGGAATCTCATGATACGCTACACTGCGTTTTTAGAGAAAAGAAGGGGACAGTGATACTGAAGAGGGACGGACTTCATCGCAGAAATAGTAAGACTTTATAGCTGCACAGAGCTATAACACAGACTCCAAGGTCTTTTGACAGCCATAAACGTATAGATACAAAGATCTTGATCATGGCTAGCTGACCTTCTCAGCGTTCCGCCGGCACATCTGTTGACCGCTCTAAGGTTTTGTTCGAGAGGGCCAAGTCATTAACCTGGCTTACACAATTTTTGTTCGCAACCGAAGAGGAGACGAGCAGGACATGAAGTCTGTGGTGCTATACTTTGGTGTAAAGACTTAGTCTCATGCAAACATTTCGTAAATGTTTTGGAGAGGCAGACGAGCAGTCCATCGAAACCGGCGTTCGCGTTTTAGAAGTAATCCGTAAATCGTCACTGTAGAGAAGGAGAGAAGGTCAATGTTGACGTGAGATTTCATATGTCTGCCTCCAAGAGTAGACTACAACCGCATGTGCCTGCTTCTTTGTCGGGAATCGATCATCTCTTTTGGCCAGAACATGTTCTCTTTGTCCTCGTTTCTTGGGTAATTCTCACATGCGCGCGCACTCGAACCTTTTCTGACTAGACTAGTGGAAGAAGCGAACAAGGTACTTTGGAGGCGGAAAAGCGTGGCAAAGACATAGCGCTTTCATGGTGGAGTTTTGTTACAAAAGAGGAGGGGAAAGCACAGACATGGGATGCGTCAAATATGGTTTTTGAAGAATGCACAACACCCAAGTGTGCGATGAGAAAGAAAAGATACCGTAGAGGAAAACACAGGTATTTATACCCGCTAGCGTGCGGAGCCGTTCAAAAGAATCACAACAACTCCATAAAGACGTAAAGATGCGCATGTCCCCAAGGTGTTGCTTTGTAGACTTCTTCCCACCAGTCTCCTGCACCACATGTCACAGCTCAGCTTCGTTTTCGGTCTCGTCGAAAGCCCATTAGACTTTGAAATTTGACTAGAGAAGACCGCAAAAACACAAACACATGTTCCATATCTTGTTCGATTTTGATTTCAGCTCGTCTTTCATGTCGCTTTCGTTTTGTTACTTCGAACGGAGGAAGAAGCAGAACACATCCAGTGTTTTCCGGAGTTGTTTGGACAGCAAACATTAGGTCGGTGTTTCCTTGATTTTGGTACTTTCTGTATTGCAAAGAAGTCGGTGGGAAGAACGCCATAGCACGCCTTGCGATGTATTTTTGAGTGAACTTGGCTACCGGGAAGCGCAGGCCATTTGCCGGTGATTGAGGCCTTTTGGAGAAGCGCAGAGGAACATAGTGACTGCATATCTCGAATTTGAGCACATGTGTACATGGCGTCGGCTTTTTCGGAAAGACAGGAAGACATAGGTCGTTGAAGATGCCTTTTTGGTCTTTTTGTCCGCAGAAGTACAGCGAAGAAAGAAAACAAGACACCCACTGCGAGATATTTATACCCGCTTTCAGCGCCCAGCCTGTCCATGATTCTACTCATTTCATCTTTTGTTTTCGGCAGACAACACTCCACAAGTCCATCGGAATCAGACTTCATGGTTTTGAGATATTCAAGCATGGAAAATGGTGGACTGACCGCTCATTGGTAGTTGGTAGCTTAATTTTCGTTCAAAAACACATGCAGAACCTTGGTTTTTTTTTGTCGGCGTCAAGAGACGTGTCGGTCTGACACGTACGTATCCGCAAACTCTCTACGGAAAGCCGATCATAATTCCATTGCTTCGTAATTTCTGTTTTGGAATTGCAGAGAAACAATCTCATGTCAACACTTTCGGTATGGTTTGGAAGAGGTGCATCTGCGTGAAGCATTGATCGTCGTGTGGGTAGCTTTTGGCAAAGAAGACCTTGTCCCATCATTGATGAGGTCTGTCATTTTCGAGGAGAAAGCGGGACAGGACATAAACGACGGGCGTCGAACTTTTGGTAACTCGAGACAAAATGGAGGTGATAAGGGAAAGGAAGAGAGAGAGTTAACGGCAGTATTTGTATGCTTTCCAGTGCCAAGCCCGAAGGCTACCAACGGTTGCGCGAGGTGTTCGTTTCAAACCTCCACCGATTGACTTCCATGGTTCCAAAGAATGCACGTGTGCGTGGGACAATTTCATGGTTTGTTTGAACATTTCATTTGTTTATTACCATTCTACGCTTTTACCGCGCATGGCATCTATCCTACCGGGCCCACTCTAGTGCTTACCCCAGTACTTGCCCTGACCCCTCCGCTTACCCTTGACATCAGCCTGCTTAACAACAAAGACACCACGGTCAATAGTGTTGATAACAACGTAACCAGACTCAAAGGTGTAGGCAGACCAGGTACCAGCGTCCCAGAGAGCGTCACCGCCGCCGGGCTTGACATCATCCGGAGGGTAGACGTCAAAGTAAGCAATCTCCTTGACCTTGGAGCCATCGGGGAACTTGGGGATGCTGGAGACGTCGAGGATGCGGAGACCGGCTTGGTAGTTGGATTGGTAGTCAAGACCGTCGTAGACGTATTGGTTGTGGTCGACGGAGCGGGTCGTGGTCTTGTAGTAGCCGGTGACGACGGGCGCCTCGAGGTTCTGGATGTCCCAGATGTAGGTCACGGCGAAGCCGTCCTTGGCGGGCGAGTCAACGGCAGTGCGGTTGGGGTCGATTTGGCCCTCGTCGAGCTCATCGTCCATGACGATGTGGGTCTGCCACATGGCGTCGAGGACCCAACCCTGATGGGTGTACGAAGCACCGACGTAAGGAGTGCGAGAGATGATGGCACCAGCGTTACCGAAGCCAACCTTGTTGGTGACGTCGTAGATGGTCAGGGTGTCCTCGTTGTAGCCGTAGCAGATGTCACGGCCGTAGTACTTCTTGTGGGGTCCACGGTAGACAATGCACTGAGCGTCGTGAGTGTAGCCATCCTGACCGTTGCAACCGGAGACGTAGGGCTTGGTGGGGTCGTCCATGTTGATGAACATGGGTCCACCGGCACAGGTGTCGTTGCGACCGGGGCGACCGCCAGCACCGCAGGCGACGGCGTAGTTCTTCTCGTTGTTGGCGACGACGGTGTGGGTGCGGCCCTTGACACCCTGGTTGATGTCGACGAGAGCAGTGTCGGTCTTGATGTCGAAAGTGTAGGGCTTCTTGGGGGAAAGCTTGAGCAGCTTCTTCAGGTCGAAGACCTGGACATGGTGGCCGACACCTTCGGAGCCGACAATGAGGCTGTCACGAACAACCTTGATCTCACGCCAGATGACGGAGTCGTTGTTGGCGGGGAGGCGACCAAGGTACTCGAGCTGACCATCCTTGGTGACCTCGGAGAAGGAGGCACCGTAAGTCTGACCGATGGCAATGAAGTCTCGGCCCTTGTGCGACCAACCCCAGGAACCACTTCCCTCACCAATAGCATCACCGAGCTCCTCGTGCGTCTTGAAGTCGTACATGTCGATGTTCTTGCACTGCGATGTTGTTAGTTGAGCGTATCTCCGTTGATCTAAATCTTGCTTACCTTGTAGGTCTGGTCGGCGTCTCCCTTGACAGCCTCGACGCGGCCGTGCTTGCACTCAATCTTGTTCTTGTTAGTCCTCTTCTTAGAGAAACCGTTCCAGCGCTTGTTGTCGTAGGCGCCAGCAGCGCGCTGCTTAGCCCAAGCAGCCTCCTTTCCAGACATCATGAGGTCCATAACCTCTCCAGAGGCATATTGCTGGTGGGTAAAGCCATGAGCGGCGACCAAAGGCAACAAAGCCGTGGTGATAGTAGCCCACTTCATCGTATCGAACAAGACTGCGGATTGACAATTGGCAGTTGATGATGAACCGAGAACCTGGGAGCAGGAAGCAGCACTTTATACATGTTTGCCTCTCTGCACCACACTCGCGGAACCACCGAGTTCCCAGAATGCAGACTTGTGCAGGACGCCGCACATGACTATCATGAGTATACCTTCCTATCGTAGGTACTCCGAAAAGTTAGCAGCCGCAACCAAGACCGTATAGAAGCAACGACAGCGGCCGTTAGACGCAGTCAAGTGCTGGGCGCGCCTTGGTGAATCTTGGGGGTGCTTTTCGCAGGCGACCGTTCATGTACGCCGAGAGCCGTGTGATGCTTGGCAAGCATTCCGCCTTGGATTCGAGCATGGGAGCTGGAGCTACGGCTAGTGTACCCCAGTATTCTGCAGGGCTGGTGGCCGAGAACAAGGCAGGGCTACAGCAGATGCGGTGCAAACTAAAGTGGGATCTTCTCGCGCGGAGACGGAGATTGGTAGATAGCGTAGCCGGAAGAGGAAGCTGCTTTGGTTGCCAAGAGCTGCTGGACCACCACGACCAAATGACTGCAGAGAGCTTTGAATCCGACTATCGATTCTAGAGAAGGTGGTGAGCGTGTAAGCCGATGGTAGACTTTAACCGGAGCGATGCTGTACGTCGATGTACGAGGGTCTTTCAGGCTGACTTTCCGGAAGAGGGAAACGCATGTCAGATGTCGCCATTCTGGTCCTCAAAAATGTGCTTGAAGCTGAGAAGCACACCGTACTGTGCTCATCTCGGCCCAAAGCGCTGGATAATAGAAGCCGGGACAAGTGAAGTACCGACTGTGCGTATCGGTAGACATTCATGGCGGCACCGAGGCCCTTATCTCGAGGGTACGTAACTGGGAAAGCGGAAGGGCGATCTCCATGGTCGGCCTTGGCGTAGGAGTCGTTGAGTTGAACAGCATAGGTGGCGGAGATGAGGCAGAGGGTAAGGTGGCGACTGAGGGAAATGCGGAAGGGCCATGGCCGAGAGCGCGGGGGCGACAGTCTCTTGTAGTGTTGCCCATCAGCATTGCTTGAGCTCAATTGAGGCCTCTGCTGAGCACAATTGAGGGCATTATGGACAGCACCACAATGGGGCTCGCCTGGAAGCTGCATGCATCGCGTACTTCCAAGTCGCTAGTAAATTGACAGGACCACGGTCGTGGTACTGCCATGGCTTTCACCCTGGGTGATGGACAGGTACAGCCAAGGCCGTCAAGAACATCGTGTTCGATAGTGCTGGGGTGGTTGCAAGGTGCGACACGTGATGCAAGATATGATAGAGTCGGGCAAAGGTCCTTGGAGGTGAGAGTGCTGGCGGAACGGAAGCGCGCCTCGGCTGGACCTGCCATGGCGTCGCGACGTCCCTTCTCACCACCCAAGTGCGCGTCCGAGGCCAACTCTGCCCACCCCAGCGCCGGCCAATCACCCCGACGATGCAGCTCACCGAAGACGACCTCTATCGCAGCTCCACCCAGTTCCGCAATTGGTCCTTTACCGCCTCGCAACTCGCTGCACAGCGCCTGAAGATCAACGTGCAAGCCACCGAGCGCGTCAAAGCCAATGTCGCGCGTCTACGAGCTCAGCGCGGCAACGATGCCGTAGACAACATTGGTGCGGAAGCGGGTGTGGATAAAGAGAATGGGAGCGGGACCAGCGGCGCAAATACACCGGATGCGCGTATGCAGACAGTGACGGAGATCAATTGCCTCACCGCAGAGGAAGAGTTGAAGATAGTAAACGAATTCTGCGAGCGCGCAATCGCCCTGGGGAACCACTACAGTTTCCCATTAAATGTCGTCGTACGTCTATCGCCCTTCTCGAAACCTCATACTCCCCAAAAGAAGAGGCACACTTGCTGACAAGATCGAAGGCAACATGCATCCAATTCCTCCGCCGCTTCTACCTCTACAACTCGCCCATGACCTACCACGTCAACAACATCCTCCGCACAATAATGTTCCTCGCCACAAAAGTCGAGCTCTTCCCCATCCACGTCTCGTCCTACGCCGAAGGCGCCGGCCGCGCCGTAACCTCCGAAGACGTGCTCGCCCCGGAATACATCATCGTGCAGTCGCTGCGCTACAACCTCGACGTCCGCCACCCCTTCCGCGCCATCAAAGCCGGTCACATGGAGATGCTCGACATGGCGCGGGGGAAATACCAAGGGCCTGCGGGGGAGCTGGGGGGCGCGAAGGAGGTGCAGAGCAGGATTTGTGCGGTGCCGGTCAAGGTGGGGGCGCAGGCGATAAAGATGCCGGAGAAGAAGGTCGAGGAGAGGGTGAATGCCGCGTATGGTGCTGCGACGAATACGCTGCGTACGGTTGCTGTGCTTACGGACGCGTATTTCTTATACACGCCCTCGCAGATCTGGCTCGCGGCTCATCTCCTCGCCGACGAACCACTCACCCTATTCTACCTCTCCCTCAAAGTCCCCACGTCCAGTCCTATCCACGCGAAACTCCTTACTACGCTCCGCAACTGCGCGTCGCTCATCTCGAGCCACCGGCTTTATGTTAATGCGTCGTTGCCGGCGGCAGAGCGCGAGGCGAAGGAAGCGAAGCACAAAGCGGAGATTAAGGCGCTGGTGCAGAAATTGAAGAATTGTAGGGATCCGGATAAGGTTGATTTGGTCAAGCTCAATCAGGCGCAGAAGAGGGATGCGGTGCAGGGGGATGCGTTGGAGGAGAGTAAGGCGAAGAGGAGGAAGTTGGCGAGGGAGGGGTATGAGAAGGAGTCTGATGCTTTTTGGGGGCCGGAATTGGGGAAGAAGGCGGAGTAGATATGTATTAAGAGGATTGAGGGGTTTGCATACGGATATGGCGTTTATTCATATCAGACAGCATGGCACGGCGTTCTAGAGGTTTCAAAAAGATACCATGGAGCTTATAGGTTGAGCGGCACAAGGAGTTTTAAGTGGGTTTGTACAATCAGATTCTCATTCTCGCTGATCTTGCTGCACGCAGACTTGTCTTGAAGGTCTTCACACCACCACCCGTTACGTCGTGTACGAAATCCGACGCTTAACCAATCTCGCTTCTCATAGACCTCACCACACTCCCACCCATCCACCCGCCTCGTCCAAGAGCCGACGTATAACCAATGCTTTTGCAATTCCATCCATGTTCGACTGAGCCGACGCTGCCAAACATTTGCACTCGTATGCGAGAATTCAACCCCGCGTTGAGTCCCCCCCGGAGTCTCCACGTGTCAATTAGACATCCGGTTGACATACTTCTTCAGGTACTTAAACTGCACTCTCTCCTTGCGAGGTGCTACGCATGATTTAGTATTCATAGAAAGTTAACGGCCGCGGCCGTACGGGGGAGTAGTCCCCATCGTACCCTTGGAGACGCTATCTCTCGGGTCCTTTCTAGTGCCGTTGGGGAACATATTGGCCACTGGTGCGATGTTCGTCGGTTTCTTGGGGCCCAGCATAGACTTGCCGAGGGACTTTGTGTTGTAGTTGCCGAACATGCCACCGGCGGTGGTACCTGGGCGCACAGTCTGTCCTGATTTACTGTTGCTTTTGTCAACTTGCTCCTGCGCCTCATACTTCTTGCGCTGCTCGATCAGGGCCTCCATCTCTCGAAGGTTCTTGCGGGCCTTCTGTGGCACCTTGTTCATGTCGTTCTGGAAAGAGTGGAGGATGTGGGCCTTGCGCTCCTGGTACTTCTTTTCTAGCTGGGCGGCACTGTACTCGGCTTCGCGATCCTTCTTCCTCTTCTTTAGCGGAGGTGGCGAAGTTGGCGAACTGGAAGTCGGAATGGCAGGGGGACTATCGTCGAGCTGTGGTACAGGCTGATCATGCTCGGAATGGGAGTCGGCCTCGTCTACAAGCGGTTGCTCGGGAATCGCTGCATTCCGGGGGCTAGATACAGCCCTGGTTTTAGTAGTGAGGGCTTCGCTCTGAGACTTCTTCTGCACAGAGGACGCGTACTCCTCACGACGACGTGCCAATTCTGAACCTGCTGTCTGAGATATGACAAGAGCACTATCCTCAGCATCTGCTTCGTCGACGAACTGCTCTTGGGGCTCTCCGTTGACTTCGCGAGCTTGCTGAGTGTACTGTGGGCCCGGTGATGGCTTTGCCGACGTAGTAACGCTTCCTCTATCATGGATTTCTGGGGTACGCTCTGGGTGGGACTGGCGAGCCACGCTCTGGTTTGCAAGTCGCTGAGTGGAGCGGGGATCCACAGGAGGAATTTCATCATCATCGTCGTCTGAATCATCGTCTGAATCTCCATGGGCTTGAGACGACTGGAGCGCGCGTGGTGGTGACATCTCAGGTTCCGCCACGTCGTCAATGTTTTCGACGTCATCGACAGGAACTTCCATGTCATCTTCGAACTGGGCCGAATCATTGGCAGTGGCATTGCCGAGCTGTTCAGCGTTCCCTGCTCCGTTTCGTACAAAGGGGGGAACGGGAGTCCTGGAGTTGTTTCCATCGCGATGACTGTGTTTGTCTTGGTGATCGTGACGACGGCTTGGATCCTGGGTAGAACCTCGGTCTTGGTCACCGTTTCCATCTCTACGATCCCTCGAAGGCCCACCAAAGTCGTGCCTGTAACTAGGCGTGACGCGATCCACGCGTTGACCAAAAGTCTCGTCGAAATCTTGAAGGACACTCTTCAGATCGACAATGGCCGTATGTAATTCCGGGAAGTCGCTACCACAAGAAGAGTAGATCGTGACCACGTTCCAAGACGCAATCATGAGATTGTTGAAGTTGGGGAACGCAGTCTTGACGACTGAATTGAAGAGGTCGACCTTGATATTGCTCGGGATGGTGTTAAAGATGTTGCTCTTCACATCCTCCGGAATTATGTCGAGACCAGCGCGCTTGCGCTTGTTGGAGACATGGGGAATGACCTCGTCGTTCGGACGCCGCTTTCGTGACTTCCTCGCTATTCTATTGTCAGCGCTGGAGTTTCATTGTATCTTTTGCACTTACTGTGAGTAGGAGCGCGGTCGTTCTCAGCCTTCATCGGGTTGAGCCTAGTAAGGGTCTATTTGATGTCAGTCAACAGTACTCAAACGCTTCGATTCATCTGAAAGCAACGTCTTGCGATATCTTTCGTAAAGCCACCGATGAATGGGCAGACATACCTCTCCGTCATCGAACAGTAACGGTGCCTGGCTTGGCATGTTGTAAGCAGCCCGCCTCGCCTCATTGATCTTGTTCACCCTTATGTAGAGAATCTGATACTTCTCTTTGAACAAAGGTACCATACCGCGAGCAATGAAGCCATGAATGGGATGAGAATCGAGTTCATCCTCCTCCAGAGGCAATGGATCTTCAACGTGCATCTGGACTTGGTTATCCTCCACCATTAGGTAGATACGGTGTATGGCGTTCTTTTCTTCCGGTAGTATGACATTTCCGAGATCGAAACGAGTGGCCTCTTCTTTGAGGGTAACAAAGACCAGATCAGGCTTGACCACCCCATTCACACTAGTGTATGTGGGTGGCTCGTCGTTGCTTAGGCCCTCGATGAATGTGTTCAGATGTGTCGGGTCAACATAGCGAAGTTGGTCGCGGAGAATGAGCGCGCGTTTCTGGGGCTTATTGAGCGCGCTGAAGGTGGGCGCCGCCGTTGCAACAGCAAGTGACATTTCGAGTTGGTGTCTGAGTCGGAAGCAGTGGTAGTCTTCTGTGGTTACTGCGCGGACTTGCCCCAAAGGCGCAATTGATATGAGATGGCTATACTGCAGTGCAACTCAAGCTGGATAAAGTGTAGTGGGGGAGATGAGATAGCAGATCCGGGTCGTGAATTGCTGTATATATACCCCAAGGGGGGCGAGCTAGTGCACGTCTCTTACCCTCGTGGACCACATTGCGGAGTCTTCTACCTGGGTAAAGGCGGGGTCCCTACGAAGAGTTGAGGCAATAAGGCATTGTTTCCCCGCTATATTCCGCCCATGCGGTGTGTCCTTGCTGTTGTGGTGCTCTTGCTCGACCTCGCAAACCCCGAGCTCGACTGGAAATGTGTAACGAGGGATGAAGACAGACTGGCAGGGTCAATTGGCATTTCTTGCGGTTTCGCGTCTACAAAGCCATTCGTAGGGGCCAGAGGAGAAGAAGGCGACCTTATAGGAGAAAATAGGAGGGGAGGTGGTTTCCTCTTGACTTTGATCGGATGACGCGAGATGTGCACGGTCTCTAACACACTCCGAAGGCAGCCGCGACTTGGACAGGACATCTAGCAGGAAGCCACCACCCACCGAGTAGTCCCAAGAGTTTCGATCATGAACGAGATGGTTATTTCCTCTTGCGTGTTGGAAGCAGCCCTCTTTCATGCATCGCTGCTATTGTCAGCCCGTGACATTTCGACCAAAAGAACTCACTATGGCTACGCGCCCAAATACATCACGAAAATTAGAAGGGTCTATATGTTGGTCGAGTATTAAGCCTGTAGTGACGAGATGCTTCCTATGTGCAACTTGTACTAATACACTTGCACATTGCTCTTGGGTGTTGAAGATGATGTCCCTCCCCTATGATCCTTACGCCTACAAGTACAGGCCCTCTGGCTCACCCTCTGTCTTCGTCTTAAGGACACGTTCTCTCGCGGTGCGGAAGTCTTCCATGTTGACGCGCATACGGCGCTCACGGAGCGCCATGAGACCAGCTTCGGAGCAGATGGCCTTGATGTCGGCACCGGAGAGGTCGTCCTTCTGGTTGATGAACTCGTCGAGATCGACATCCTCGTTGAGCGACATCTTGGAGGTGTGGAGGGTGAAGATCTTCTTCTTGGTAGTTTCTGAAATGGGTCAGCAAGTGTATTGTGAGCAGTGTGGACTAAACTCACGATCGGGATTCTCGAAGAGAATCTTTCGGTCAATACGACCAGGACGGATAAGGGCAGGGTCGAGTGTCTCGATCTTGTTGGTGGCCATGATGACCTTGACATCTCCACGGTCGTCAAATCCGTCCAGCTGGTTGAGCAACTCCAACATGGTTCGTTGAATCTCACGCTCACCACCGGATGTGGACTCGTAACGCTTGGTACCGATAGCGTCGATTTCGTCAATGAAGACGATGGAAGGCGCGTTTTCAGCAGCGGTCTGGAAGAGCTGTCGCACGAGCCTGGGTCCGTCTCCGAGGTACTTCTGAATCAGCTCACTACCCACGATGCGCAGGAAAGTCGCGCTGGTCTGGTTGGCCACAGCCTTGGCCAGAAGTGTCTTTCCGGTACCTGGTGCACCATAGAGAATGACACCTTTCGGGGGCTTAATACCCATCTCCTCGTACAGTTCAGGATGTAACAGGGGCAGCTCGACCGCCTCCCGCACTTCCTGGATCTGTTGCTCTAGACCACCAATATCCGCATACGACTCAGTGGGCGCCTTGTCCAGCTTCATGACCGATACTAACGGATCGGCATCGTCTGTGAGCACACCGACGACTGAAACCGACTTGTGATGCAGCAGGATGCTCGCTCCGGGCTCTAGCAGATCCTTGTCGACGAAAGACATGATGGAGACGTAGTACTCTGGCCCGGTGGCGCTGGAAACAATGGCGTGGTCGTCGTCGATGAGCTCCTCGAGGTTGCCGACGCCCATGGGGCTACCGCGCATGTCGTCGACGCGTGAGCGCTCATCGGCGTTCCGGTCTTCGGCATCCCCTGCGTTTGCTGCGGGCGCGTTTCCTTCCTTCACCGCCTTGGCCTTGCGCAGACGCTCCTGGTTCTCGACGTACTCCTCCTCGAGCAGGAGATGGTCGTGGATGCGCTGCATTCGGAGGTAGCGTAGCTTGCATCGTGCGGTCGGGTAGACGGTCGGGAGCTTGGCGGCGGCGCTGGGCCCGGCGGCCTTCTTCTTCTTCCTGCCGATGCGGGTTGTGGGTTGTGGCGGCGGCTCGTACTTTGGCTTCTCCTTCTGCAGAGGGCGTGTTAGTGCGGTGAGGCAACAGATAGCGGACTCCCGAGAGCCATCACCACGTGTCGTGGGGCAGCACATACCTTGTCCTTCTTGTTCTTGTCATCTCCTGGAGGCCCGCCGCCTCCAGCACTCGATTGCTGGTTACCCTGCACGTCGTTAGCATGTGGCCATGGTGGTTTCCGAGGGAGGCGATCGTACCATGACACGCGATCACACGATGAAAGGCGAATCAGGCACTTGGTAGTATGCAGCGACTAGGAGAGAAAGAACCACAGCGAGGGTGGTGGTAACGGGCGATGGCGGTGGTGAGGCGGTGGTTGTTTGCAAGAGGTGTTGATGCGCTGATTCCGAAGCTCGTGGATGTCGGAGGATCGGGGTTAGCGCCTCGTGGCGTCACTGCCTCGAGCCGCTGGAAGCCTCACCATTCCACCTCCATAGAGCAACAGACACGTCAGGCCCCGTCCGATAGCTGCACATTTCTCGCTGTGCGCTCCATTTCACTAACTCTTCTTCTTCACCCACCAGATTCCCGAAACCCCCGTTGTAGTATTCCCTCTGAGCTTCGACCCCGCCGGCGAGCCAGCTCAAAGCTCCCCACGCGGGTCAAGAGGTACTCTCTATTGCTACTAGACAAGGTCTCAGAGTAGGTCCAGTACGTCCGAATCGCTTTTTAGGTGAATCACCACGCCACAGCCCCCTCTCAGACACCCCAAGACCTGTATGACACAGTCCCCGCACTGCAACTTGGTGGAGCCGGGACCACTGCGCGGAGCCTGAGGCTGACTTCTCTACCTAGAAATACCTTGGTCGCGCCTACCTGCTGCCTACTCGTCACACTTCCTCTTCATCGCCCTTTTCACCCCGAATTTTCCACCATATCCCACCACCATGACTTCCAACCGCAACAGGCGCATTGCCAAGGAGATTGCCGACATCCACAACGATCAGCACTCCAAGATCGTCGTCGAACCGGCAGGCAATGGCGAGGACCTGACACATCTACGGGGGCAGTTCTTCGGTCCTCCTGACACACCATATGAGGGAGCTACCTACAAGGTCGACATCCGGATCCCGAGCGAATACCCCTTCCGCCCACCGCTCATGAAGTTCGAGACTAAGATCTGGCACCCCAATGTCAGCTCACAAACGGTAAGTGACAGATACCGTCTTGGAAAGTGCTTCAGAAAGCTAACAGTAGTAGGGCGCTATCTGCCTCGACACCCTCTCCTCGCAATGGTCGCCAGTTCTGACCATTAAGTCCGCTCTGATCTCGCTACAATCGCTGCTCAGCACACCCGAGCCAAAGGATCCACAAGACGCAGAAGTCGCCGGCATGCTGCTACGGAACCCCGCCGAATTCGAACACAAGGCCCGTGAGTGGGCAGTCACATTCGCTGGTGCGCCGCGGAAGGAGATTGCTGAAGGAAGCGGGGGAGCCACAGCGGCGTCGATCAAGAAGAAGGCCCAGCAGGCGAAGCAAAACGAAGAGCAGTCCAAGCTGGCTGCGTACAAGGGCTACAACAAGGACTTGGTAGACCGCTTTGTCGCTATGGGCTTCGATGTCGACGCTGTGGTCGCCTCGTTCGAGTATGTGGGTATCGATCGCATGGGCGGCGAAGACTACGAGCTAGAAGAAGCCTACATGGGGGACATTACAGCTCGGCTCTTCGGCGAAGCATAGTAGCCTCCCCATATCTTGTTCCGATTCAGCATCTCTTGTTCGACTTCCAGGGCGCAAAGGCGTTGTCATTCCTCAGACCATCACATCCATTACATTCTTCATGGGAGGCGGCGTAAGTTGATGGGTTATTAGGAGTATTGGGTGTACATGATCACGGGAATAGCGTAGGCGCGCTCTTAGTGAGTAGCAATGTAGTGTCAATCAAAGTTTGTTACATTATCCTTGTTGTTTCGTTATGTCGTATGTACAGGCGATTCCTCCTCTTCTAGTCTAAGATATATAGTGTGTCGATCAAGGTGTTTACGCGGTGGCACGGTCAGCGTCGATGAAGACACCATTCGAGTAGACACCATCAACGCTTTCATCCTTCTTAAGCGTAAGAGGAGCATCACCAAAGACAGTCATCTTATTCGGCTTCTCAATATTCTGCTGGACCTTGACAGCTATTCCACATATTAGCATCTCGCCCCGCATATCACATCATAACCGGAATGATAAACTTACTCTCACCATCATACTCATAGTCAAAAGTAGGAGGATCGCAGCTCTTGCTCTCCGTGGTGTTCTTGCTAGGATCATACTCGTAGTTGCAAACGGTGTGAATAACGTCCTTGCCAGAGTACTCGTCAGACACAAAGTCCGCGAGCAGCCTCTGCGACTTGAAGCCCGAGTCGAGCGCGTATTGCGAGATTGTGACATTCCATTTGCCGTAGACTTTGGCGTTTGCGGCGGTGGCGGCGGTGGCCAGGGCGAAGAGGGCGGTGCGGAAGTGCATTTTGGGGGGTGGTTGGGTGGTTGGTTGGGTATGAGATCGGTGGGTTGGGAGCGATGGTGATGGGAATGGGTAAGTCTAGAAAGCGATGGCAAGACCATCTTATATATCCATCTCCCTTCGTAAGACAACGTCAAGAGCGGTCTGTCAGTCGGCGCATTTACCCACCGCCTCGTTTTCGTGCGCCTAGCATGGTCCTAGCATCGCCATACTCCACGGCTGCACTCACACAAATACCGCTACTGCTGACGCTGGGTAAGCACTTTAAACTTCCTCTCT